AGCGGTTTGCTTATAATGTTAATTAGAAGTGAAGAGCACGTTTAATTTAAATGAAGGTTGATGTTATTAGATAACAAAATAAACTTTTCAAGAAACGTTAACCTTTGGGATACAAATATAGTTTTCAATTGAATAATTTTTTTCCAAATGTTTGGACACACATTACAAACTCTATAATAACAAAATCAAGCATTGGTGGTCGTCCTATCCCTGTTGAACTGAAACTAATGATAAGTAACATATAGTTAGGTGCTAAGTCATTGCGTGTATAAGCTTCTATATGTAATAACCTTTAAACATGGACAACGAACAAACCATAATTGATTTGGCCAGATGATAGCATCGTATTTACACATGTTTGCACCCTCTTTTCTTGATCGTTTTGGCTCGAGTTTGTGCCTTCTTGGCCTATTTTACGCTAGGTTGTGTTTCTTTGTCACATTTTAGGTCCTAACATGCAAAGTGAAGCGTAGGCGCAAGTTTCAAGTCAATCGGAGATCAATTGGCAACTCGGGAGAAGAAACTTGGTTATGATGACCCGAAGAAGAATGAATTTCTATCTAATTTTATTGACAAAGAATCATGTAAGCTTGTCATGAAAATAAATAGGACAAGACTACGAGCATTTGGGATCAAACGACACCTGAATCGGAGGTCAAACGAGTTTAAACGAGCGTAAACGGAGCTTAGAAGTGCATGCTGGAAAATATGCACGGGAGTGCAATTAAGTTATCGTGTGAGGTTGTGTGAACAGAGGTCAGAATAATTATTTGGCTACTTTAATTCATTAGTAATGTATGTTACTTGGGCAGTCGTTAGTTAGGGGTAGTCGAAAGTTAGGATTCCATATAACCATGTTCATGTACATATTAGTTTTACTAGTGTTGTATCCGGCCCGTTGGCCGGTTTGTGGTCATTTGTGTATTTTTTTTTATTTAAACGTAGGTGGTTCGATTTTTAGTATTGTGCACTGGTGGTACAAAAGAGTACTTTGATAGTTTATGTTTTTAGTGCCCGTTAACTTTATAATTTTATTGAATTTGTATTTCATTTTATACTTAAATATAAGAAGTTTAAGTTAGACAACGAATGAAATGAAAAACTATCTGGAATGTATCTTCATGCCTTGAGATATTAAACATCACTGAATCAACAAAAAAAAAATCAACAAAATTTTTTATCTTCGTTATATGTGAATAATTACCTTGCAAATGAAGCTTTGAAAATTTTATTATTATTTTAATTTAAATATAGTTGATTGTCATCTATTGAATTTAAAAGTAAATAATGTACATAATATTACTATAGATGTATTATATTTAAATAGTTTAAAGATACAAAAATTCGAGGAGAAAAAAATGTGATATGGAAATAGAGTATTTGGACAATTATGTAAAGCAAATCCAAAAATATTAGTATAGATGTATTAAATTTATATTTTTGAAAGAGACAAAAATGAAAAATATTAGCAAAAGAATATTTTGACTTGAAATGGCCCTTTTAAGTTATTCAATCATTTGAACTTTAGTTATCATAATTAAAACTTAACATTTAACAATATGCTCATATTTTAAATATTCTATTTACTATGTCCTATATTTTCAAAAGTGGAGCGGTTGTCGGATGAAAAATTTCAATGACTCATGATTAATGGTTTATCATTATACAACTATTTTTTAATCATTAATGGAACTATTCAGATGTAAATAACAACTTAGTTAGGTTGAAGAAGCATTTAAGTTATTCCATTGGACCATATTTTACGTTTAATAATTTTTTAATAAAAACTATCTCGACTTTAAGCAATTACATAGAATAAAAAAAATTGATTTTTTTTGTTTGATCTAATTCGACACAAATATCGAGCTGGTACGATATGGATCGAATTATTGTTTAACTTACGACTAAACATGCGATCTTACCTTTCAAAATTTAATGTAAAAATTAGACATGCTAATTTGAAAATTAAAAGAATTTAAAACAATATAAATTGATTGTATTTTGCCAAGATTTCCCGTCTTTCTTCCTCTTCATGTTCGCCGAAATCACTGTGAAAATTAAGATTCTAAAACTTTTTAAGGTTGATGCTTGGTTTATCTGTTTAACGTAAAACCCTAATGCGAAAAAACCTATTCCGAAGGAATCTCTTCCCAATCATCCACGCCACAACGATATATCATCTTTATCATCTCAAAATCCAATTCGCAAACATTATCTCATTTAGGAGTTAAACAACTTTAGATAGCCTCTGTTTTTTTCTTAACCACACAAAATAAATCTACACAGAGCAAAATTCAAATAATTATTATGTAGCATTTACCTTACAACAAATCTTCTTTTTCCTCAATCGTAATCGCATTTACTAAAAAGAAAACCAAAAATCTAATAATAATGAGTGACCCTTGAGTGTTTGAAAAATTGTCAAAGTTGCCCTTCCACCAAATAAGGAGAACCAATCAAAATGCAAGGTGGCAACAATGACATAGAGTGAAGTGCATAATATATTGTGTAGATCCCTAGCTAATGAGTAGTGATTTAAGTTGATTAGTAATTAACCATTACTTGGAAAGTCAGTGGTGATTAGTGAACCCCCAAGTATTGCAATATCTAAAATATTGTACGTAGCTAGGGGTGGAAGTTTGGTACAGTATTTGGGATACACCAAATACCACTATGAATATCATTATTTGGTATTATTTATTACGAAGTTAACTTTTGGGTTTGGGATTGAGATTGCTTTTCATCTGTATTCCATATTCAAGATATGCGATTGGAATTTATATATACAAAGATATCAAGCAATATAAAAAATTCAAAAATGATGCAGTGAATCTTCCCTTTCAGTGAGCCTCAACCCCCTCTCAAATAAGTTAAGGTTATGGTTCTCGTTAACTAAAATCTATAATTAACTACGCGATTGCAATAAATGACTTGTATTTATGCTCATGATGAAATATCTTAGAAGAATGAATTGCTTAGTTGTATTGATGAATAATTATATTAAACTAAATTGAGATTTAAAGAAGTATGAGTGATTAATAATATTGAAGTATAAGTTTAGTTCATTGTACATAATACTATGTTATTTATATACACAAATAGAAAGTTTCTAATATTTTACGTCGAATCACCTTATTAATGTCTTAATATGGCGTTATTTAATTTTGTATTCGATATATATTGATACCATATCAAAACCTTTTGGATTGAGATTGATTTTTGTCGTTATTTAGCATTTGAGATACCAATAAACTTATTTCTCCTATGCATAGCAAAGTACACACTAATTAATGAGTAGGGACATGTAAACTTGCAACTAGGTAGCATTTAAGTACTCATGAATCTTAAACTTTAGCATTCAGTGAACAATCAATGTACACTAATATAACCCCTTATGAATCGAGAAAGGGAAAACTTGGCTAATCTACAATAGAAAACATGGGAGAAGAAGAAAAAACTTTTAACATAAGTCCTAGCGAAAGGAAAATTTGCCTAATCGACACTCGTAAAAACGTGGGATAAGGAACAAAACATACGTGAGAGAAGAAAAAACTCCCTACAACAACAAAAAATGTGGGATAAAAAAACTCCTTTAACATAAGTTCTAACGAAAGGGAAACTTGTATAATCGACAGCTATACAATTTGGGTCTTAAAAAAAAACATACATGAGAGTAGACTAAACCTCCTTTAAGTTAAGTTTAGCGAAAGGGAAAACTTGCCTAATCGACAACTCGAAAATGTGGGTTAAGGGGAAAATATATGCGAGAGAAGGGGAAAACATTTAAGTTAAGTCCTAGCGAAGGGGAAACATTCTCATCGATTTCTTATAAAATTGTCGGTTATGTAAAAAATTTATTTTTAAGGTAAGTTATAGCAGGTCTCTAAGGCCACGCCCTCCCACATTCCACCATACCCCTTAAGCGAACTTGCACTGTTAATGTACTAATAACTTCCACTCGAATGCCTTCAAGTTGAGAAAGAAATATATTTTGCTAACTAATTTACAACGAATGATATATAAGGTCGTGCATGATTAGCAAGATACATTAGTACTCCAAAAGCACTAAAATATGGTACTTTCGGACCAAGTGGTTTCTCTGAACCTTCTCGATATTTAAATAGATCATTTCTCACATTTAATGATCATATGACCATTAGTATGCTCAAAGGATGTTGTTTATTTATCCATGTATACACACTTTAGCACCTTCAAAAGGTATCCTTCTTGATGGACAAAAATTACATCATGCATATGTTCAGTTTGCAATCCAAGAAAAAATCTTGTTCTACCCAAATTCTTTATTTCAAATTTTATCTTCAACCAATTAACTACATTCGAAAGATCTTCTGGAGTGCCAACAATATTTGTATCAATGAAATAATAACATATCCATTATGAGACTTTTTCAAGAAAACAAATGGGTAAATTAAATCATTTGTGTATCCTTGTTTCATCAAATATTCACCCAGATGATTGCACCATATTTGTCAAGGTTGTTTCAATCCATATAAGGATTTATTTAATTTGATTGTGTAATGATGTAGAAACCACAAGTGATATTCTATATGTCTTTTATGTCGTATTCATCGAGATCTTCTAATTCATAACTATTTACACCAACCATCATTACATTCACAAATTGAACAAGAAAACAAGAAGAGTAAAGCTGTTTGGGGGTTTTTCGATTTATTGATGCATAAAAGTAAGGGCTAATACCACTACAACACCTGAACTATCGCAAAAATGTCATTTGTGTCCTATTGTGTCAAATATTCCATTTGTGTCCTGAACTATGATTCCGTTAGTGTTGCCTTTTGTTGACCGTTAGTTTTTAACAGAAAATCTAGCCGTCGCTGATGTGGCATCTGACGTGAAATTTTTTATATTAGTTTTTATTTATTTTACATATAAATTAATAAAATTAAAAAACGAAAAAATAAAAACTCATTTCGCAGACCCCTTGTCCCACTAATCCCCTATTCCCCAATTTCCAAAAATTAAACATTGCGACGGATCCGACCTGGAAACATCTTCAATTTCCCACCATGAGATCCGAAATCCCGGATCCAAATCGCCAAGAAGCTCATCTTCCGCCCATAAACACATGGGAGATTCCTTAGGTTGTGCGACGATTTCGGCGGGATCCGCGACTTCCTGGTTTGGATCTCCCAAACGAAAGGAACAGCGCCGCGGGTGATTTGGTCAGAGTCCCCGACGAAGGAGCGTCGGGAGACAATACTTGCTGTAGAAAGAAAACCCTCTGTTATGCTCCTTTCTATCTCTCGCCGCTGCGCTTCCCTCGCCAGTTTAAACCCATATTTCCCCATCTGTCCTTTCCTCTCCCCGCATCGCACCGACCCAGGCTGCGAGCTCTTGCTCCCTTCTTCCCCGATCAGTTCCGCTCTCTCCAAACCTGAAATTTCAGTTGGGAAATTGAAAATGGGAAGAAAACAGAGGACAAGAAAATAAGGGAGAGGGGACCCAAATCGGCGACCTCCCTTCTTGCGAACCCAGATCCGCCGACAGATCGAGATGCTTGGAGTAAGTGGAAGAAGCAATTCTGCCGAAGGAGACGAAGGAGCAGTCTTCAATCACCGAAAAAGCAGAAGCCGATGAAGGACATAAGTTTTTTTATCTGTTTGGGAGAGGAATTTTGATTTTTGGGATTTTTTTTTTATAAATTTTAATTAATTTTGAAATGAAAATCTTATGTGTCAATGACGTGGCATTTATGTGGCCGCCACGTGTTTGCCACATCAGCAGAAGTCAACATTAATTTGACTTCCGTCTGGTCAACCGTTATCTCTAACGGTCAACGAAATCGTTAGGATACAAATGAAAAAAAGTATCATACAATAGGACACAGATGGAATATTTGATACAATAGGACACAAGTGGCATCTTTGCGATAGTTCGGGTGTTGTAGTGTTATTAGCTCTAAAAGTAAATATACATTATTGTAATAGATTGTGAACTCGAAGATGACCGTGCAACCTAGGGCTCATTCATATCATTCATTGATAGTTCATCTATTGTAACACACTATCCCTTCCTCTAAGGCTACTTTCCAACCTTGCATACACCTCTTGCAATATACATTTAACTAGCTAATGCATGTTTTTGCTTCATGCCATTACCTAATTAATGAAGAACAAGGAAGTTAGGATAGCATATAGTTAATTGTGGGCTTCTACGAACCATAATTATAGTATATAGCATCGATGATCTAACAATCAAGCATTGATACTATTCGAAACATAAATGGGTGATCAATCCTCCTATGCTCCTGTAGCATCAGTGGGGTATCCTTAGAAGGTAATTCCTTAACAATCTAAGTAATACTAAGCACAATGCATATAATAGCATACAATAGAGCATCAATGGTATTAAAGAGCATTCATACTATAGAAGCATCATCATAAGCATCGAATACAAGCAAACATCAATGATTATCATAGACATCATATTTCACAAACAAACACAAACATGAGATGAAATCATAGCATTCATTCACATAACAATAAATAAGATCACTTACTAATACAATCAATCTTGAATATCTACATAGAGTAAAAGGAAGGTACCACCATTGATGATGAAAACATCTCCATAGCTTCAAACCCCTCTACTTCGACTAGACTAAGAACTCGCACAGAGTATTGTAGAGATTTTTGTGTTTGTGCAGCCTTACTTCTACAATGGAGTCATGCCCTATATTTATAGATATTTATAGGAGGGAATTTGGTCTAAAACAACCTAAAATGACTAGGAAAGAGTCTCCTAAACCTAGTAGACATAGAAAAACCTCATCAATAAGGCAAAGGGAAGGCTGCAGTATCATGACACTTGGGCATGCGGCTATGATTGTTTGTAGTTTAGGCTTGTGAATCCATGGGCTTCAATTCTTAACGATTTGCGGCCCAACTATTGGTAGATGCTGTTGGACCCTTTCCTTGGGCCGAAGCTATTTCTTACTTCATAATTGGTTGATTCTTCCTCCTATGGGCTCGTCTTGACATAATCTAGCAACTTCTAGTTGACTTCTCCGTACTTGGACCACTCCTTTCTAGTGAAAACTCCTTACATTTCTCTTTATAGCTCATTTAGTCCTCCAAAGTTCTTCAATGCTTGATCCAATCTTCCTTAGGTTGTTTTGTACCTTCAAAACCATAAAAAATATACCAAGAAGGTATCAAATAGTACAAAGTACACCCTAGGTCTCCTAAAAGCTCATTGTGTATTGATTTAGTCAAGAAATACCATTGAAATTACTAAAGATGCTCAATAGAAAACAAAAATGTATCAATTATGGGGGTGACAAACACTATAAATAAAGTGTCATCAGAAATACCCCACAATTAAACTTTGCTTATCCCCAAGCAAACACTACTCATAATCATACACCTCAATGAACCCTAGCAATCATCACTTTCTCTCAATCTTAGGTAGTGGATCATAAGCAACTTACGAGGTCAACAATAGCACGAGAGAATCCTAACCACGTCAATATAAAATAATATCATATCATCTAATCCTAGCATCAATAACCAAATCATGCATCAGAGTCTCAAACGTAAGGGTGAAACTTTGAATGCTTTTCTACCATCATCTTGACATTTCTGTAAAGCACTTTGCCTTTCTCAAACTCATACTCTTTTTATGATTTTTTTTATTTTCTTCCTCCAACCATATTTTTCTTTATTTTTTGTTTTTTCTCATGGTGGAGAGTTATTTTGAACTTTACCCTTATTATTAGTCAAGCAAGAACTTAGAAGTTCTTTTTCCTCAGAAGGGGTTCCAGAAGCTTTATCTGTGCTCTTAAAGACACATCCTCAACTTGACAATCAATTCGATGGGTGGAAATTTTTCCTGTACTAGAGAGGAACTAGTATTACCTTGTAGTACTACCCCACCAAAGCTCACCTAGTATCTCTTCCAAAAGCCGATTTTATTGCAATGAAAAGATGCTTCATATGTTAGGCTTAACCCACACTTTATTTTTCAACATACCAAGGCAAAATTTTGAAATAATATCTTGATGAGTGTTTTTCTGTTTTGCATTTGTCTAAAGATACAATTCACCCTTTTGGAAACTTTTGGAAACATGAGACTCTTTTTGTATAATCAGAAATATTTGCATATATCACAAAATATGACATTCAAACACATCAAATTATCATTTTATCTCATTGACTATCACATCTTTCATAGTCACTACACTAGCCTCCCTAGATTAAGTGATGATAACTAGACTCATTGATTCAAAGTAAGATGAGAAGTGATCATACTTGTAGGGGATTACCAAAGTCATTAGAAGGAAAATATCTTTAGTGATTTCACAAACTTATAAGCACATATCACAACCATTTGGCATTGAAATTTTTCAAAAAATTCAAATTTTTATTGACTAAAGATATAGCATATAGTAACCATATTCAAGGTAAAACATATCAACCATCCCCACCCCACACGTTAAAATGGACATAGTCCTCAATGGACTAAAAGATAGTGAGTCGTGGTTTAACAAGACCAAAAATCCGCTAAAACCAACACCAAAGTCAATGCCAAGTTAAACAATGAAAGTGTCACAATATAGTAACAACAAGTAATAAATATCAAATCCATGGGTATCAAGATGTACTATTACTTAGCTTCAGTTTATTATCTAGCCATTACAGGTTTATAAATGATTAATCTACTCTAACAAACAAAGAAAAGACTAAACTAACTAATTAGAAGGTGGAAGCTCACCTAGGTAATGATTCACCCTAGCCACTAGTCGGATTGATGATTAATGATTATTTAGCTCATTTAACTCATTATTCATAATTTAGAGAGTTCTTAACAAGTCTTGAATCTCGATTAAAGAAATCAAGACCCTCTTGAATAGACTGACTGCTTGAAGAAGCTCTTTGGCTCGAGCCTCATTTTGCTTAGTGTTATGGAAATATGGCCAATGCCTGGAAGGTAATCAGAGTTATCTCAGCCTTTAATTTGTTGTTACTGGCGCAAATGGATTCAAGGAAAAAAGATAAACTCATATAGGTGGCTTCTACATTTGTTTTGGCCATAAAGTGAGCATTGGATGTCCAAATCCATCTATGTTGGAGCCCATGATCTTGTATTCTCGTACTCATTCTGATCCATTGGCTCTGTTGGTTATAAGTACTCGACTTGAGTGCATATTAAACTTGAAAAACACAAAACAACACCAAAAGGCATAGAATGGTACAAAAACACACTCAAGGTCTATCATAACTTCATAAGCTCATTATTGTAATATTTATGAATACCATATGAAATAAATTAAAATATACTAATGACGCATCGATAGAAAGAAAAAATGTATTCAATATTGGAGTGATAAACACTATATATTGAGTGTCATCAACATTCCTCATCTGACTTATAGAACTGCACACAAACACGATTAGTCAACCAAAACCCCCAACTATCCAAACACAGAGAGCAAGTTACAAAAAATAAGAAGTCGAGCAAACTAGCTCGTCACCAAGATTTATAATATGTAAATGAATCACTCAAAGCTCGACTAGTGGGGTTAGGACCATAATTTATGCAAAGCATGTTCATGTTATAACTCTCAATCCTATCAACTCTATGTCATGAAGTTAGCTCCTAAACACTTTACACTGCAATCCAATCTCCAATATTAAATCACCAGTAACTTGTTCGAAGGATTTTTTATTGGGTTCTAACTTGATTAGCGCCTAGGTCACAGGGAACGTGTCTTTGTGGTGGTGGAAAGCATTTACTACTCACGTTTATACATATCTCAAACCATACCACATACAACTCAACTTTTCTCTACTTTTGTAAACTTTAAGCACAAGAGTATGGAAGGAAACTTTCAAATAGTACAATCAATTTAGCCATTGTGATATAAACTTTGGGTTGCTTTCCTTACTCTTTTCGTTTCATATATTTTTTATTTTTTCTTGAGAGCAAAAGAGCAAACAACAACATTTTCCAAAGACTTCCTCCAATACTCAAATTATGATGAAGCAGAAAACCGTGTAAAAACCAATCATGTGAAAACTTGAAAAGGATTCAAACAAATGTAGGTTGAAAGAATAAAGATGGACTATAAACGAAGTGGTATTAACAAAGATACATGTAAAGCCTCGACGAGGGTTGACTAAGAGATATTATGATATGAGTAGTCAATTTCTTTGTGGGCTAAACATAAGTTACATCTTCGTGATTAGTGGTCTCATGATTCAATCTCATGCAAAGACTAACATGAGCCATCATACCATGAGGAAATTATCACACATGAAAGAAATGAACAAGCACAAATCTCATATGCATACCTAGATGTGCAGTTTCTCATTCAAATTCTTGCTCTCTATGACTAAACAACTAGGGATGGTGACCAAACAAATTTTCATGCATTTTTGCCATCAAATGAAGGCTGACACTAGACAAAAAGTTATATAAATTCTCAATCATCGTTATAATTTTCTTTCTATCTCAATCATTTGGCTCATACATCAACATCAATAAGCCACATAATTAACAACACATGTTCAAAAAATGGCCACTATGATCATGCAAAAGAAACCAAACGTGTTTGGATCCCTCAAAATTAAAATTTTGGATAGTGGACTAGGATCCAAGCATTAAGTATCAATCCAACCATTCATTCACACCCATTCACAACACTCCCCCCCCCCCCCCCAACACACACAGTGTGCCATTGTCCTTAATGGAGATGAGATAGTGAAGGGGAACGAAGTTACTAGATGAGTGAAGAATGTCAGACAGAACAGAAGAATAGTCCATCTAGAGAGAGTAGCTTGGACAAAAAAAAACACCACACAAAAGCTCACAATGATCAAGTTATTGAATTTAAACACAGGGTGACACAAAATTACTTAAAGAATATCAAAGGGAAAGAAAATGCTAATCGATAGGTTGTGTTGGCTCCTAACAAGTGCTTCTTTTATGTCTTTAGCCGTACATGTTGCTTCTAAGTTTCGGTCCTGCCCAAAACTCTTTGAAATTGAGGTTCTCATCAATGATATAGAATCTCAAGTACGGGCGGGCAACTGGTTGGTTAAAACTGAACCAAAACCGAATTAAACCGAACTGAAACATAATTAATGCTATTCGGTTCGGAATTCGGAAGGAAAATATGGATAGTTCGAAAACCAGGGTTCTTTCAAGCGAACCGAATTTCCGACCGAAAAACCAAAATACTATAATTGCAAGCTCCAAATGGTGGATTTTTATGTTTGTAGTGGTTTTTAGACTTAAATATTTGAAATGTTTTATGACTTATGTGTTGAAAAGTTTGATATTATCATTGATGATGCATATAATTGCATATTTATTGTTTATATTGGGGGGTGAAAAATAATTTAAAAATGAGAAGATACAAGTAGTTTCACAAATTCGGTTTCGTGTGAAACCCAAACCGAACCAAAATATAATTCGGTTTAAACCGACCGACTGAATTATAATTCGGTTCGAATTCAGTTTGAGGTTTGGAAGAATTCGGGGACCCGGTATTCATAATTTCGGTTCGGTTTCCAAATGGCCACCCCTAGTCTCAAGTCCCGAGTAGGTGTAACAAGTGATGAGGGCTCGTGGATTTTATTCAGCTTGACGCTCCACTGTCAAAACCCTTTTTCCTTTTTTTCTGTTAGCCCCAAAACATATAAGACATCATGAATTACCCAACATTGCATCCGCCAAGAGGGACCAATGGTGTTGTGGCCTTGGTTTAGGAAAGAGAGACCGCAAAAGGGTCATTCTCAAGGAGCTCCTCAAGATCAGTGAGGATCTTTGATATGTTTTTGCGCTTGTACAAGCCTCAACCACCATGACCTCGTTCTTTGCTTATACAGTAATTGCTTCTGCCATCTTCCTTCTTTCTTTAAGAATAAGCTCCTCCCTTTGGTAAAAGTCAATAGCCTTCTCTTTTGTGCTCTCTTCTTCCTTCACAACTTCTTCTCTCACCGTTCCATCCTCTTCTGCATGATGCGGAAAGCAAGTTGTCATGCAATATGGTCAACAAGATCAACTTACTTCTCCATTATTGTGTCTATATATGTGAATCTCAACGTGAGATGGGAAGGGTATGGTTAGGAAATGCTTATTGTAATCATGAGAGCTCTTCGTGACAGGTTCTATTTTCTCCACTTTGTCCTTATTTCTTGCCTCTTTCTCCTCTTCTTCTTTTGTCATGGCTAGACGGCAATTGTGAGCTAGTTGTGCACAAGCTTTCTCAACAGTCTCTCCTAGCTTCTCTACACTCATGAGGGTCTGCTTAGTTTTATGTAGAGAAATGTGATTGAGAAGGGTAATGGGTTGGAAGGCCACCTTGGAGTATGCTCTTTCACCGTCCATAACGAATTGCTTCATAGCAAGCTTTAATTGGCCCTTCAACTCTGCTTGAGGAATGTAGCAAGGTCTTTCAGAATTTTCCATGATGGTCTCCATGGCTAACTCCAACTCAGATGCCACCTCGGGTTGTGGAGGAAAAACTCATTGATATAGAGGGGATTCTTGAAATGCCCAAGGGTTCGGTCGTTTATTGTAGAAGGGACTTTGGATTTTGAACCTGAATCCTAAGTCTTCATAGTCCTGGTTGCCCCCATGAAGTCTCGGGGTAACACCAATTGGGTGTTGGTTGATATCCCACATGTTGGAGAATTCATTGGAATTCATGATTCGTATCTGTAAACCAAACACAAAAAACACCCTTGAAAAGAATGGGTGGAAAAGAAAAAGAAAAAGAAAAAGAAAAGCTATAGCGACTAACTTGTTCCTTTCCTAAGAATCTAAATAGTTCCTCGAAAAAACGCCAAAAACTTGATCCACTAAAACCAACTCTCTCGTCAATGCCAAGTTAAACAATGAAATTGTTACAATATAGTAACAACAAGAAATAAATATCGAATCCACGATTATCGAGATGTACTATTACTGGGCTTCCATTCTAGCCAGTATAGGTTTATAAATAATTAATGGGTTAATATTTTCGTATGGCCTGAACTTTTACCAAAATAAACATCCTGGCCAATCTTTTCGATCTATAACATCCTGGCCCGAACTATACACCAAAATAAACAATTTGGCCAGAACCGACTTTTGACCGTTAACTTGGACGGTCAAACGCGTTGACTAACGGTCAACGCGCCACGTCACTGCCAAGTCAACAATTTTCACTTAAATTTTTTTACAATTTCCATCTATTATCATTTTTTTATATTTTGAACGCCAAAAAAAAGTTAAACAAAAATAAATCAAATTAAAAAAATAAACTCTTCATCCCCTCTCTGATCCCTTTCACTCCCCGCTGTCATCTGCTCTCCAAAAATCATCTTCTGCTTATCCTTCTTCCATCACAATCAACTGTAAATGCCCCAAGTGTAAAGTCCAATCCATCTCCCCCGTCACCGCACCAGAGAACCTGGGTGATTATCCCCAAAATTCCCAAATCGTAAATCAAATAAAATCTGAAGTCCAAACCTTTACTCGTCATCATCATCGCCAAACGGAGGGAAATGAAAAGATTGGGTAATGGTGAGCTTCCCTCCATCCATGGCGGCGAGTGCGAAAATGGTGGTACCAAGGTCGATTCCACAACTTTTCGCTCACCGCCCTTAGTGGATCGTAGCTCCTCTGCCCTCTTTCGCTTGCTCCCGCTGCCGTCGTCGAGCCCCAGGGGAGGAAGGAATCAGGCTCACCGACAAACTAGCAACAGCAAGAGGCCCGCCGCCGGGCTCGAGAAGAGGCAATCGAGCGGGAGTGCGGGCGAATGAGCCGGAGTGAGGGATAACATAGAGGGATTCATTATCCTCTTTGATCCCGATCAACTGATTGAGGACCTCTCTCTCGTTCAAATCACGGATCTAGGGTTTCAAGTTCTCGAATCGTCGCCGAGTTCCTGGATCCAATGGCAATGGAGTCGTCGGATGGGGAAGATGAAGGGAAATTACGGGAGGAAGCCATCATCTGGTTGTGGTGGACGACCTGAGAGAGCTGGTGAACATTCAATTCCATTTGGAGAGGAGACAACAACAGGGAGTGAAAGGGATCAGAGAGGATGGAAGGGTTTATTTTTTATTTTGTTTAATTTTAGTTTTTTTTGGTTCAAAATGTCAAAGAAAAATGATAATAGGTGGAAATTGTAAAAATATTTAAGTGAAAATTGTTGACTTGGCAGTGACGTGGCGCGTTGACTGTTAGTCAACGCGTTTGACCGTCCAAGTTAACGGTCAAAAGTCGGTTCTGGCCAAATTGTTTATTTTGGTGTATAGTTCGGGCCAGGATGTTATAGATCGAAAAAATTGGCCAGGATGTTTATTTTGGTCAAAGTTCAGGCCATACGAAAATATTAACCCATAATTAATCTACTCTAACAAACAAAGAAAAGACTAAACTAACTAATTAGAAGGTGGAAGCTCACCTAGGTAATGATTCACCCTAGCCACTAGTCGGATTGATGATTAATGATTATTTAGCTCATTTAACTAGTTATTTATAATTTGGAGAGTTCTTAACAAGTTTTCAATCTCGATTAAAGAAATCAAGACTCTCTTGAATAGACTGGCTGCTTAGAATGATTTTATCCTCAATTAAGACTAGCTTTTTAGCCGGCCCGTTGGCCGGTGAGTTTAATTTTATCATTTACATTAATCAATTTATCTATATGTTTAAACTATTTTGATTCTTCTAAATTTTTTACATTTGCATTCATTGTTGAGTATGCGGTGCTTCTATAAATTAAAAATTCTCAATACTTAGCACATTCACTTATTATGCTTTGATTCACTGATCATAAATCATGTCACAAATATATATCACGTCCCATATAGAATCTTATGTCAAGATTTGTCAATAACGATACTTAATTTTTTTTGTCTTATACAATATATGTCATTCAATGAATCTCGAGTTTGGGCGAACTCTCAACCAATGATGTTGCTCATATGATGACAACTTAGTTAGAATTTTTTTATAAAGGTACTTCAATATTACATAAATTTGATCATCCCAATTGAAAGTTTACTGTCTTGGTGTAAGATCATATTTGTCTAACAAGACACTCAATTTAATATCTTATACAATATGTACGAATTGTTAATTCCTGAAGTTTAATATAGACTCACCCTCAACTAATGGTCGTTGTTTATATGTTGGTTTAGAATCTCGATCCAAGATACTCACACGCTGTCGAGGGTTCTAATCTGAACATGATCCATTGTTGTCTAACTTATCAAATATGCATTTGCTAAAATTTATTTATCTTTGGTGTTTGTTTTGAGATAAAAATTCCATTATTCATACTAATATCGTCATTTTGTTGGTGTAATGCCACATCTATTGTCAATATCTAAGCATGATCTTATACTCTAAGTAAGAAAACGCTATTTGGACCACGAATTAACCGGATTTGTGGGCATGATACTATACCCTAACCCTTGATGAGTGAACCCTAGGTCTTAGTTATCTAAATCATTGAGTTTAACCCCTAAGATTGTGCATGTAATTTGTTGCATAGATTTTAACGAATCATGCCCATTGATTTTTGTTTATAATTAAATTGATCTTAGGTATGAGATTTATAAATTTAAGGCCTAGATTTTAATCTTTAAGGGTTTGAGAATAATACCATATGCAACTCCAGTCAATTCAAGATCTAGATATCATTTTCTTACTCAATGTATGTCATAATATACATATATAAATATAAAGAGTTTCATGTATTTTAAGTGTAATTAACACCTTTACTTGACCGAAATATGTAATCTGTTAAGAAAAATAAGGGGAAGTATGAACAAATGTAAGAGAAAATAAGGTATGGAAGCATGCATTATAAGAGATAAGAAAAGTTGTCTTTCTTTATCGTCTTCATTTGTACAATCAGATACTATATTATGGCTTCGTCAAGTTTCTATCAAAATGAAAAAACAACTTTTGAAGCATTTTGCAATTTAATACTTGTTTTCATTGACAGATACAAACAGTAGAAAAAGATAGTGTTTGATAACCAAAACATAGAATTATATAGTTGGTTTTTCAAATTCAATTGATTATTAAATGTTAATTATATAAAGTTCCTTCATTATATTTTGTTTTATTGATTCTTAAATGTTGATTATCTAAACTTCCTTCATTATATTTTGTTTTTAAAAATTTTTATTACTTATATGTGTGTTTAATTTATTTTTTATCGAAATATAACATATGTTAAGTTCTAATAAAAATAAAAAAATTAATTGATCAGATTTAATCAAATATATTTTTTGAAGCATTACAATGTCACTCTCCAAATATAAGTATACTGTTGCTTCACATATATATTGAAAAATATAATTATTGAATAAAAAAGAAAATATTAAAAGAAGATAAATATAGCTACATAAATGATCATTAAAATAAAATAAAATATTAAAAAAAGATAGATATAGCTACATTAATTGATCATTAACTAACTTTTTTGTTTGTAAAAAAAGTGTCCACCATGGCACCTTGTAAATTCTCCAAATGCTTATGTGGCAACAAACTACTTTTGAATTGCTATAATCTACAAAATATATAAATCCAAAACAAAGATTAGATTTGCAGGGATTTGAATTTCCAGGCCTTAGAGGAATTTTCGGAAGGGCAAAATAATAAATTCACCCCAATTAATTTAAACTCTGCGTTTCATGTCTTCCCTTCCGCTGGAGCTTAAATGCAATGCACTGGGCCAACCTTGGGGCCGAAGATTGGGCCCAATCTCCCCTGGCTCAAGCAGCTGTACTGCACTGCACAAACACGTGACATGCACCACAATTTACCACAATTAAGTAAACTCTGCTTTGCAATTAAATCACTCTCCAATCTCCGTGTCGTCTTCGTGAATTAACATAGTCACGCTATTTCTGCTTTTGTCTATGTACCTATTTTCTTTGCTGTTCAGGTACTCTGACAAGTGACATCAGCCATGCCCCGCCCCTAAAGAACGAAATTGCTCCTTGATACTCTGCAAAAAAACGAGCTGTAATTGCCATTCACCGGCGTCAGAGTTTGATGGTTGAGAGTTTGGGCCTTGGGGTGCCATAACTTTATGCTTTGTCTCAATCTCCAGAAAGGATGGATGTGGTGGTTGGTAGTTTATCCTTTCATCTCCAAACATTAATCCATTCCATTCCCTATTTTTTAATATATTTTATACATGTAAGTTAAACCACGTGTGCATGGTCTAGGAAAAGGTTGTACAAGAGATTTGTACTTGACACCAGGTTTTCAACTCACGGGTCGATCTGGATTGACAAGACCCGACGAGAAAATGAGCACCTCATATTCGTGGGCCAACTTGCAACAAGCACGTTCACAAGTGGAGGTCAAATGACGTCATTTTTTATTTGGTTTGCGAATTGCACATTTTTTTCCCGTTTCCTCTTTGTCCAACCTTCCTTTTGCAACTGTCAGTTTAACATTTGAATGTTGATGTTATATGAATGTGTTTGAATTTTCACTACATATAGGAGTATGAATTGTTATTGTGGTACAATATTATATGTATTATTTTTTTGTTGAATAAAATTATATGTTATTATCCATATGTTAGATGAGATTTTATATAATTTATTAATATATGAACAATATAATAACTTTTTCACACATCTGAGCTAAACTGAATTAAACCGATTGAACCATTGACCTCAACCCTTCCCCACTTACTCGACAAAGCCAACAAGATAAATCGGTTTAACAACCTTCCTTAACAAAAATCAAAGGGATATGTAAAACTGAAGAAGAGAAAAAGAACATTTCATTTTCCCACACTCATTCAGTTAACGGGAGAATTGCAACTCGAATTGGGTTTCCATATAACGCAATAATGAGTATTTTCTTGGAGTAAATTGGGATGAATAGCCAAACATACTTTGTTTACTTTAATCACTCTATTTTGACTTGGATTTTTTTTTATCATCAATGAGGATAAACTATGATTTAGAACAAGTTTTGCTTTAGGATAAACACATACTAAAGATGTTGGCCTTCAATTCTTTTTGAAGCTTGCATTATTGTTACTTTCACAACCGGTTTGTTAGTTTAATTTGCTTTGTATCTTTTGTCATGCCTTGCAACAATATTTGAATCGGCTTGACTTTCACATTATTGGGTATGCATGCTCAACTTGCATTGGAAATTTTGGGAGATGATTTATGATTATGATGTTGAAAGTTGATAAACAATTACGTGGGACGATTGGGATTTACAATATATTACTTTGTGGCCACTAAAATTATTGTTTTAAATCCTACAACTTCAAATTCATTGCATATTTTGTTTACTTTAAGCACTCTATTTCGATTTGGATTTCTTATTATCAATCAGGATAAACTATGGATTAGAACAAGTTTAGGATTAACACATACTAAAGATGTTGGCCTTCAATTCATTTTGAAGTTTGCATTATTATTACTTTCACAACCGGTTTCTAAGTTTAATTTGCTTTGTATCTTTTTCTTTCATTGTTAAGGATCATGATGTTGGTATTAGGGGAAGCAACTCTAATGTCCAATTATGTGGATTTCTTAAGTAGTGAAACTTTCTCTTCTTTGAAGATCTGTACTTATTTTTCATTTGTATTTCTTTTTTTTTTCTTATTATATTGCTAGCACGATTATTTTCATAAATTGTTAGTAAATTTTTCCGGCCAAGGGCCGGGTTCGGTGCTAGTATTATGTATAGATAGATATATAGGCTACCAAGCCAATATCGAACTAGACTCTCTGTATTGGATTTACACCCCTTACAACGTAATGAATTTACTCACTCTCGTGCAATCAATTCCCTACATTCAATCAATGTTTCTCTATCAACCTATTAAAATATTCTCTCTCCTAGGTCAAAGTAAAAATCAATAATACTGATCAAAGGAAAATTGTATCAATAAACATGCATATATTGGATATGAATTTACGAATTCAACAAGTCAAAGCGTCTATGCAATCAACAAAACATATATAGGGTTTCTCGTACCTAACTGGAACAGAGTTTACTCCATAGAGAGAGAAAGGAATACAAAGGAAAGGAAAAAACACCTCCATAACTGCAGAAATCATTGTGTAATCTTCAATTCCTTTTTCCAAATTTGTTCCTTGAGCTCCAATGGTCAAAACATAATTCAAAGTTTCTCCAAAAACTTTCCATTGTCGTACTCTCTCTAGGGTTTGTCCTTAGGGTGTTTAGAAATCCAAAACCCAACTCCCCCATTAGAAATTTGTAGAACCTCCTGTATACACAAAATTGGCAAAGTCACGACCAATATTCACGACTATGACTTTCCGATTTCTGGCCTTGACTTTCCTACATGAAGAACTTCATTAAGTCACTTTGGGGGAAGTCATCGTTGTGAGCTGTACGTGGGCACCGGGCCGTGCCGCCCACAGGCTAGCACGGCAAGACACGGTTAGAGCACGACACGAGCACGGGCACGAAATAAATGGGCCAGCCCAGCACGAGCACGATTAATTTATGGGCCGTGCAGGACCTAAACTTCCTGGGCACGTGCACGAGCACGAGCACGGGCACGACACGGTATATAAGTGGGCCGTGTCGGGCCTAATATTTTTGAGACTTTATTGAGTAAAAGAATGGACATGGTACCAAAATAATATTTATTTGATAGAAAATAAATATGAAAAGAATTATAGGTTCAAATATTACAAACACACAAGTAGAAGAATAATTATTTGTTGTTGTTAGAAGTGTCATAAAGATATATACGTAATTACTAACATAAGTAAAAATGGACAAAGAATTAAACAAAGCCAAATAACATTCGCTATACTTCCAATTTTCTTTTCCCGCTTATTTGTTACTATTCTCAAACATTATCGGTTAATACTATCTTCCCCAGTGCAATTTTCACCTTCTTTTTCATTCTCTCTTTTGTTTTCGTCATTATCATTAAACACGAATAGGAGCATGGCACGAGCACAAATAGACAAGACACGATTCGAACCGTGCCCGGGCCTAGCAAAATTAACAAATGGGCTTGCATGGCACGGCACGAAAACTGACCGGGCCGTGCCAAGCACGACACAAAATAAATGGGCCCGAAGCGTGCCCGTGATATGCCGACCCAAGCACGGCCCAACGCCCATGTACAGTTGTGACCAATGCAGTCAAAATCGGGATTTTGATCGTAAAATCGTAGGATTTTAGGATTTTACTTAGGGATTCCGATCCTGATTTTAATATAAAATCGGTGGACCTTAAAATCGTTCAAAATCGGGATTAAAATCATTAAAATCGTAAAATCGTATCCTATGTGAACAAAATAGGTAGTTTGAGCCAATTCAAAAGAAGCAGAACTGTTTCGGTGGAAGGGCAATGACAGGGATCTTCTCATATATTTTTCCTATTAAAAGAACATTTGAAAAGAAAAAAATAACCTAATTAGGGTTCGGTCAACCACTTTCCCTTCCCCTTGTTTAACTCATCGGTAAAATAGTTGTCATAATTTTGTAAGTACGAAAGAATTAACATCATTATTAACAAATTAATTGATTAATGAATATATTTGTATCAAACCAATGACATTAAAATATGTTCTACAATGCTTACTTATATGAAATCTCGTTGCATTGTGGTTCATTGTAAGTGGGGTGTGTTGAATGATTATTTTGTAAATGTATGAATCTTGAGTATTATATTATTGACTTTTTTTTTAATTTATGTTATTAACTTTTGTATTATGTACTTGACTTTTTACGACATAAAAAGGGGATTGCTAATTGTCGCCTTACCTTTTACAATAATCACTCTAACTTAAAAATTAAAATTATATCTTTACCGTTTTTTTTTTAATTGTTAGGAGATGTTTTATTCTAACAGCCCAACCCATAAAAAAGAAGTTACATTAGCCACCATCACTACCCGCCACCTCCATTACAATTCAACTAGTGATGGCAATGGGGCGAGGCATGGATATCCACGCCACTACGGATCAGGACGGGCAATACCCGCGCGGGTACGGGGCGAGTCTACCCGCTTTTACATATTATTTGAAAACAATACTCGTAAAATTTTGCTTATACGATAAAAAGAAGGGGAAAACACATTATGAATGGAAATAGTGATAATAGAATGGATAATTGAGCCTAACTAGTTGAAAGATCAAGTCTAATTAGTTGAAGATAAGTCAAAATAGAAGAAATATGTATAGATATTCTACGAAAGTGACATAGAATGTGCCAAGAACGAGGCGTGGCGGGGCAGGACGAGTCAGAAGTAGATAAGCATGCCCGCCCCAAGCTACTACGGGTCGGATACTACCCGCCCCTACGCAGGTGAGGTCAGTGGCAGTGCGAGTCGACTAATTATTACATGCTATTTGGAAAAAATATTCGCCAATTTCTACTTTTTATGATAAAACGAAGGAAAACACTATATGAATGAAAAATACTGATAATAAAATGGATAATTGGGTCTAACTAGTTGGAGAAAAGTCCAAATAAGAGAAATATAGTATACATGGTATGAAGTTGCGATAGAACATAGCATTGGCGGATCAAGACAGGTCCGAAGTGAGAGTCGGATTATACCCATTCCATCGAAAATTAAGTCGGATAAGATCTAACTGAGCGTGTTCAAATTACCATCCGTAATCATTCCTCTGAAATTGATGACATTATTACTTTTATTAGGCGATCGTATAACTCGCAATCGTTGAGTAAATAAAAAAAACTCGCAATCGTAATCTTATTTTCCGCGATTCCCTCGTGATCCATATTTTTCACAATCCTCGTTGCAACCAATCAAGCCGAGGCATCTCATCTCAGCCAATATCTCTCTCTCTCTCTCTGAGGCCGGCCCCGCGTTTGGCGCCTAATTTCGGTAATTCCAGATCCATCCAGCCACAATTTCTTCTTCCAAGTCAGTCTCTGGCTAGCTAAAACTTATCGGAATATTCATTCACCAGGATTAATGTTGCATCAATGTACCGGGTCGGGTTACGGTTCCGTTATTCCCAAGTTAATTAATTGCGTATAACTCCGGAAACTTCCTTCTCTCTCTCTCTCTCTCCTCTCAAAGTCTACCCACCAGCTCACTGAACCACCTAAATCCACGACACGTGTCGCGGCCGCTTAGATGTTCTTTCCTTATCCCGCGGGCCCATCCGGTTGGCTCAATCGCAGCCGTCCACGTCACCGGATTTCATCGTTCTCCTCCCACAATAATAAAATATATATATTCAATTCTCTCTCTCTCTCTTCCCATCTCCTTCAATCAACGGACCAGACCGAGATTCCGACTTCGGTTCTCTCTCAGAGGGCTTTCCTCTTACTTTCTCTCGGTAGACTAAAAAGCGAGATAGAGAGGGAGAGTGGGGAAAAAAGCAACAGAAAAAAAGGAAGAAAAAAAAAAAACGACGAACAAGGAAAACCCCGGGAGAAGCAAGCGCGAGAGAAAACCCTAGCGCGGTGGGGTTACGTTGATCGGAGATTCCTGCTCTGCTTTCATCCGGCTCCGCTCCTGGCGGTGGCTGTTCTTTATTAATGGTCGGTGAGGGCTGTCTGAGGAGGTAACTTTGCCCGATCGCCATGATTTCATTGCAGAACGGAATTCGAGCTTCGGCTCGCGATGAAGCAGCTGGCTTCCATGCCAAGCTGGAGCCATCCACTCCTTCAGCGAGTCTAGTGCCTTTCAAGCCCCGTGATGCTTCTCACCATGAAGGTTTAGCTTCTAGAAACGCTGAAATTTCCTCCTCCATTGTTAATGTTTTTTTTTTTTCTTTTCAATTTTACATTTTGAAAAATTTCCCTGTTTGCTGGCTGCCATGGTTGTGCTATTGGCGCATATGCAACTTGAATTTTGATCGCTGTTGGTTTCCCCACTATGATCATTTTGCTGAATATACCTTCGCTGCTGGGGCTATGTTAGGTTAGGTTCTAGGGTTGGCTGCTGACTCTGATGAACTCGATTACATGGACCATTTCTTCTCCCTGGGTCGATCTCGATAGTTAGTGTACGATGTAAACAGGTTGTTTTAGATTGGAATTACTGCCAGTAAGTGGCATTCATTTTAGCACTTGGTTTTCTGTACTGCAAAATCTGCATGCGGCAGGTTTTGGGTTCAGTTTTGGCTTCCGGTGCATGCAGCAGGTTTTTGGTTCAGTTTTGACTTCGGGTAGGTGGTTCAGTTTAGATTCATTTCATCAGGGTCAGAGGAGTTCCATGAGAAGCACAAGGAACTGCTTCAAGAATCTATCTCTACTTATTTGGCTGTTCTCTGTAATTTGCCCTATGTTGTTGTTTATAAGTATCTGCTGTGTGGTGGTGCAAGTATAGCTACTAGTAGTAAGAATTGTGTCCTATGGCTTTTGTAATCCTTATCTGTATTTGTCTTATTTCATCTTCATAACCCAAGACTTATATCTTGATGTAGTTGATGAAGACACGCTCTTGGCGCTCGCTCATCAGATGTATAAGTCTGGAAGCTACAAACAGGCTCTAGAGAACAGCAGTGTCCTCTACGAGAGAAATCCCCTTCGCACTGACAATCTACTTCTATTGGGGGCTATTCATTATCAGGTTGGTTTAATGATTTTTGCATGCTGGACCAAGGCTTTTTAATGTAGAACATTTGCTTTTCTGCTCCTCCTTCTGATTCTATTGCTTCCGTGACAGTTGCATGATTATGATATGTGCATTGCTAAAAATGAAGAAGCTCTTCGGCTCGAGCCTCGTTTTGCTGAGTGTTATGGAAATATGGCCAATGCCTGGAAGGTAATCAGAGTTATCTCAGCCTTTAATTTGCTGTTACGGACGCAAATGGATTCAAGTAAAAAAAGACAAACTCATACAGGTGGCTTCTACAGTGCACTCACTAACATGAGTGGATGCTATACACTCTCATCTAAAAGGAGACTTCAATTATAAAATTTGAAATTTTGCTCGCTAGCATTTGTCTAGTATACTAATATAAATTATGATTACTTCGAAATGCATGCATATTTACTCATAAAATTGATCTTATAGTCATTAGATGAATTATGGAGGTGTACCAGACCAATTTTAGAAATACCTGAAATGATACAAGTAATGTTTAGATGATTCTCGTACAAATTCATACATTTGTTTTGTTCTTTATGATACAAACGAAGATTGTGATCATTATGACGATATATAATATTTAAATGATGATATGTCGAAAATGTATAAAATACACCCTCTAAAGTCTGTGTAAGCCGGACAGACTCATATATGTTTGCTGCTGGTATGGAAATGTTTGCTTTTGTTTTATAGAATCGGTATTTCTTGCTTATTGTTCGTGGATCTTCTTTTTTCTTTGTTACAGGAGAAGGGAGACATAGATCTGGCAATTCGTTACTACTTGGTGGCCATTGAGGTTTGTGTACTTCAGTACCTAATCATGTCTGACTTCGGGCAGACAAGTAGTTGCCTATGATTTTTTTTTGCTATAAACTTTGTTCCTTGTGGCCTCCTAATGCACTTAGGAATCAAACTCAAATTTTTTGTTAACTAATTGATTTGTGAACAATATTCCAGCATGCAACATCTAATCTACTTTCCCTTCTATCCAGCTCCGTCCAAGTTTTGCGGATGCTTGGTCTAATTTGGCTAGTGCATACATGCGGAAAGGGAGACTCAATGAGGCAGCTCAGTGCTGCCGTCAGGCACTCGCTCTGAATCCTCATCTGGTAATTATGTTGAGAATATGTTGTTATAGTTAGATATTGGAGTAGCTGTGGCTTTGAAATGACAAGGGACTTATGTTGCCCCCTTGCATTCTGATTCCTGACTGATCAAGTGTAGCATAGTCTTGGGAAGGTAAATGTCTGACCTATAATGGGAACTTTTGTAGGTTGATGCTCACAGTAACCTTGGAAATTTAATGAAAGCACAAGGCCTGGTGCAAGAAGTAAGTGCTAATTGGTTTTCATTAAAATGATTAATTAGAAGAAGGGAATTTTTGCTAGCCAGTTTCCTAGAACTCGAAATTGTTTAAGGATCTACAAGATGACTGAATGTTTAAGACATCGTGTTGGTAGCTTATCTGGAATATGCTTGCTAATCTTTGTAGCCTAGGATAAACATTCTAGTTGATTCTCTGCACACTGAGAACATGTTGCTACTAGGATTTTTGGTGTCGGTTGTTGGACCTACCTTGTTATTAATCAATCTCATTTATTGATGGAAGAAAGATATTCTTCCAAGTACTATGAGTGTTAATTGTTGTATTTATCTCATTTTCCACAAAGTTACTGATTTAACATTCATGTGTGAACTGCGCCTTAATTCACAGTTCAGTACAGATATCAAGTTGTTATGTACGGGCCAGGGATCAGATGATGGTTGATCTTGTTGTAACTTCCATGTGCAACACACCGAATTGTCAGAACTAACATTTTGTGCAGGCATACAGCTGTTATATTGAGGCTCTCCGCATACAACCAAGCTTTGCTATTGCATGGTCGAATCTTGCTGGTCTCTTTATGGAGTCTGGTGACCTGGCTAGAGCTCTTCAATACTATAAGGTGTCTTTGATTGTGCTCTTATTTTCCACGAATATGTTCAGTTTGCAATAATTGGACGGAATGTTTTAATATTTCCTAATTTCATGTAAATAAAATTGTAGTCAATGCGAATTTAGCTATGGTGCTCACAACACCATCTATGAGAACGTGTTCACAGGGTGCAAACAAAATTGCCACTGCATCCGTCCAATGACCGCGGAGTGCCCAGGGCACAATCCGCAGCTGTGCATCCTGTGAACACGTTCTCATAGATGGTGTTGTGAGCACCATAGTTAAATTTTTCCCATTTCTATTTCTCATGTCTCTGTCAAGTGAGCTTCCATGTCCATGATAGGGAACAAGCGGATTACTTTCTGCTTGTTTGGTCTTTTATTTTACCTGAGTTTGGAAAGCCTTGTGAGCACGGTATGCAATTGGATTTCGGTACATGTCGCTTGCTCTAATTTCGTTTGTCAATGGAAATGTTTCAGGAAGCTGTAAAGCTTAAGCCTTCATTTCCTGATGCATACTTAAACCTGGGAAACGTGTACAAGGTAAGTTCTACTTTTGCTTGCTGGTCACATTACCTTCATTCTTCTTGGTGGTGTACCATCTTCGTGTTTTGCATTTCAGGGTTTGGGTAGGCCTCAAGAAGCCATTGCATGCTACCAGCGTGCTATTCAAAGTAGACCAAATTATTCTATAGCATACGGTGAGTCTCTATGCTGGCTGATACAGCCGAGTTATAAAAAAAAAAAAAAAAAAAGATGACCAATTGCTCTGTAGGATCCACTTTCCTGCTGAATTTCGCTTACTCTCTTCTTACCTGTGCACTGTTTCATGAATCGGATGTCAGTGAGTGTTTCTCCTGGTTTGGTTTGAGAAAACTATTTTGCTTGGTTGTGACTGTATGTGAATACCCACGAAAATGTATATACAAGTCGGTTCCTTGGCTTGTTTCCTTTCTCCCTTTTGTATTTAGGACTTTACCATCATTCTACCTTTGTTTGAAGGATTAGTTCTGCAACCCTGACTCTGGATTTGTCATAATGACTATTTTCCTTGGAATTACCTCCATGTTATTTAATCTACTGTCCATGTCCTTCAACTTTAAGCAGTGATTCATGACTTTCTGATCCTTCAGTGGATGTCATTCCTCCCAAATTTCACGCTATTGCACCCTTAGCCATTTAACCTTACGCCATCTAAGAGACCGGTGAAATGCACTGCCTAATATCTACTTCAATTACTTTTTTCTAACTGAATTTAATAACTTCAAATCCAGAACATTGACTGTGTTACCTATGACTGGCTAGACTTGTCTCTGCAATGGAAATTGTCAAATCACTTGATATGCTGTGGTGCAGGAAATTTAGCCAGTACGTATTACGAGCGAGGGCAGCTGGATTTGGCAATTCTTCATTATAAGCAAGCCATTAGTTTTGATCCCAGATTTTTGGAGGCTTATAATAATTTGGTTGGTATCATTTTGGCTTAATTTCTTTCATATATTGTTCACTTGTCACCTATGTGATTGTTTTATTATTATTCTCCATTTGAAAAGGGTAATGCATTGAAAGATGTGGGTCGCGTGGATGAAGCAATTCAATGCTATAGTGTATGTTGCCATCTTTGATCTCTGTTTTCTCCCCATACATATAATGCTTCTACTCTCAATTTCATTGCCTGTGTCTTAACTTGCTCAATTTCCTTGGCCACTTGAAGCAATGCCTTTCATTACAACCCAGTCACCCACAAGCTCTTACGAACCTGGGGAACATATACATGGAATGGTAAGTGACCTTGGCAGGTATTTGGTTCCACCTAAACTAGATTTATGCTTCATATGTTAACTGAAGTAATTTTGTTGCATGCAGGAACATGTCAGCCGCAGCTGCTTCATACTATAAAGCAACTCTTGCTGTAACCACTGGACTGTCTGCTCCTTTCAACAATCTTGCTGTTATCTATAAGCAACAGGTGCCGATATTTGATTTTAAGCACACATAGGATTGGATTATGTATTGCGGGCAATCCTGTGAATTTTTTTTTTTGAAAATGGGGTTTTGTAATCTGGTTGAACTCCTGTGCATCCGTCATAGAAGTAAAGCCTTGATTTGTCCTTACATTAATTGTTGACTTCCACCCTGTACATGCAATAGAAGTAAAATAACTACTGGACTCCTACTGCTACTGCCATGGTAAGAACGCCATAAATAGCAGAACTATCAATATTAATAAATAGCAGAACTATCAATATTAATCACAGGCTTCTGATATTTCCGCTGCCTGCTTCCTTCTTCCTCCTATACACTTTTTTGTGGGTGCGAGCCACAGCTTTCTAGAGCTAGCTGGCGTTCATAGTCTGCTGCTGATGGCTAAGCATATTGGCAGATTCTTCTGCATCCTTAATGTATATGAGTAACACGCGATCCTTTTTGGCTTGTTACAGGGGAATTACGCAGATGCTATATCGTGCTACAATGAGGTTCTTAGGATCGATCCCTCGGCAGCTGATGGTCTAGTGAACAGAGGTAATACGTACAAGGAAATTGGTAGGGTAACTGAAGCTATACAAGATTACATCCGTGCTATTACTGTCCGACCAACTATGGCTGAAGCACATGCAAACTTGGCCTCTGCTTACAAGGACAGGTGATCACTTGTTTCTCGTTAGCGTATTGAAGTTCTGGCTCCAGGGAAGCTTTCCGTCATTTTATACTAAAATAGGAGATATATAAACAGGATTGGGAGGAGCCTCCTTTGTGTGCTTTATCAGCTTTCTTTTAGAATCCGTCGTAGATGCATATTTATGCCATGAATTGTCATTTGGGTTGTATTAAAGAGGTCCGGCCCATTTGCTGTATGGTTATTTTAGGATTAAGTATAGGAGGTGGGTTAGAAGAGAAACTAGTCAGTCGAACACCTGCATGCAGTCTACAAGACAGTATCTTAATTGTTGTTGATTACCATATTTATATTATAACCTGTTTTGTTTGGCATGATTTGTAGTGGTCATGTGGAGGCTGCCGTGAAGAGCTATAGACAGGCTTTGCTTCTCCGACCTGATTTTCCTGAGGCAACTTGTAACCTTCTACACACGCTGCAGGTAAAGTTAATAGTAGAAAGAGTACTTTGGAGCTGGGCTGCTTTGCTTCTTTTGTTTTAGAACTGTTGGTCGTATTGATACTTTGATAGGATCAACATATTTTGTAATTTTCTGATTCCTTATGTGGCCGGCAATGCCTTGAATCCACATGAAGGGCTCTGCCTATTTCAAACTCCAGTGTTTTAAAATGTGTACTTAGTCTATCAGAAGATGGTTATTCAAGTTTCTGGCGAGGAATCTATTTCACAGGGGATGTGTTGGGTAGAGCATGCTTGTTGGTACTTGGTAGCTATATTAACTGATACAGTTTTCTACTTTCAGTGTGTCTGTAGCTGGGAGGAGCGGGAAATGATGTTCAATGAAGTTGAAGGGATTATTCGGAGGCAGATCAATGTAAGAGGGGCTGCAGGAATTTATTTCTTCTACCTTCATTGATTAGTGATTACTCCTATATAATTGTTAACTGAAGTGTGCTTTTACATTTGTCACTTTCCAGTCCTCTGTTCTCCCTAGTGTACAACCGTTCCATGCTATAGCATATCCTTTGGATCCAATGCTTGCTCTAGAAATCAGGTATTGTGAACAATCTTAATTAATTTGTTTCTGCCTTATGAATCAAACCTTCCATTGATGTTCTATTGTTCTTGTCAAACAGCCGTAAATATGCTGCTCATTGCTCTATGGTTGCTACTCGGTTTGCACTTCCTCCTTTCAACCATCCTCCTCCAATTCCTATTAAGTGTGATCATGGAAGCGAGAGGCTTAGAATTGGATATGTGAGCAGTGACTTTGGCAATCATCCTTTGTCACATCTAATGGGATCTGTGTTTGGCATGCACAACAGGACTAATATTGAGGTTTGCCATTTCTCTTTTTTTTGAAGAACTACCATTCTGTTCTATTCTACATGTCACCACCCTGAACTTTTAATTTACTCAAGCCTCTTTCTAGTTGTCGATGCCTGATGGAACTTAAATATTTTGTAGGTTTTCTGCTACGCGTTGAGTGCAAACGATGGTACTGAGTGGCGGCAGCGTATCCAGTCTGAAGCTGAACACTTCATAGATGTTTCTTCCATGTCGTCAGATATGATTGCCAAATTGATTAATGAAGACAAGATACAGATCCTGATCAACCTTAATGGTTACACCAAGGTATGCTTTATTAGTCAGATAGTGAACAATACCATAACTTAGGAACTCATATGCAATGTCCTTTGGGTTTTATATTTATATTGCAAATCAGTTAGCTGTGCTCATATGCAGGGCATGGTAACACCCACGGCCGGGTGATCCTGAATTTCTGGAATTTGGAAACTTGTTGAATTATATTGCTTAGATTTGTTCCACGGCTGCAATGTATGCAGGGTGCAAGAAATGAGATTTTTGCTATGCGTCCGGCACCAATTCAGGTCTCGTATATGGGTTTTCCCGGAACCACAGGAGCAACATACATAGACTATTTGGTGACTGACGAGGTTTGAAATGGGTGCACTACACTCCATTCTTTCTGTGTGTAATATCTTGTGGGATTCCCTAACCTATGTCCTCAACTCTTTCAGTTCGTTTCACCTGTGAAATATGCCCACATCTACTCCGAGAAGCTTGTTCATCTACCTCATTGTTATTTCGTAAATGATTATAAACAGGTTAGTGATATTCTTAATGATATATGAATTGCTTAATCTTTGTAAATGCTATTTTGTTGGGGACAGATGGGTAATGTTCGGCTAACTGATTGTTTTGCTTCAGAAAAATTTGGATGTGTTGGATCCAAACTGTCAGCACAAACGATCAGATTATGGGCTTCCAGAAGATAAATTCATATTTGCGTGCTTTAACCAGTTGTACAAAATGGATCCTGAAATATTTAACACCTGGTACAGTTTGCGTCTTTAAAACTCAGTTTTGTTCAGATTCAACATCATTCTTTCCCCCTCTTTAAAATCAAGTTAATTCATCTTCTAATTTTTTTTAGGTGCAACATTCTTAAACGGGTACCGAACAGTGCCCTTTGGCTATTGAGGTTCCCTGCAGCTGGGGAAATGAGACTTCGTGCATGTAAGTAAGAATTATTTGTTTGTTTTCCTGTTGGCTGACAAGGTCTTCTGACATCTGTGCATTCGGACCATCTTCCTAACCTTGGCCATGTTCAGATGCTGTTGCTCAAGGAGTACAGCCGGACCAAATCATTTTCACCGATGTTGCCATGAAACAAGAGCATATCAGGCGTAGTGCTCTGGCAGATCTCTTCCTGGACACGTAAAATTCGTCAATCTGCTTAGTTATCCAATTGCAGCAGCTTGATTTTCTTATTGTATAATGATTAGTTTCTGATGCTGTTGAGTTTTTACCTTGTTTAGGCCATTATGCAATGCTCACACCACAGGGACCGATATTTTGTGGGCGGGTTTACCAATGGTGACACTTCCACTTGAGAAAATGGCCACTAGAGTTGCAGGATCACTTTGCCTTGCCACTGGAATTGGTGATGAGATGATTGTCAGCAGGTATTTAATTGCCATTTCCTGATAACCAATTATCTCTTTTTTATGCAAAGGAATTCATATTGAAGTTTGTGCTGTTATTTGATTGGTTTGTATCGACAGTATGAAAGAGTACGAAGAGAGGGCAGTATCCTTGGCTTTGAGTCAGCCAAAATTGCAGGCCCTAACCAATAAACTGAAGTCGATTCGTCTGACTTGTCCGCTGTTCGACACCACACGTTGGGTAAGTTTGAGAACTTAGAGATCTTGTTTCCGAACAATGTATTGGGCGTGAAACACGCACAAGAATGTGAGTGACTGGGGTTGCTTTGCATTTTTACAGGTGAAGAATCTTGATAGGGCGTACTTCAAGATGTGGAGTATTTACTGCGCAGGGCAGGAACCACATCACTTTAAGGTGGCGGAGAATGATTCGGAATTCCCTTATGATAGGTCATCTTGATGAATAGTGGGAGATAATTCGGCGATGTAGATAATACAGAAGAGTAAATTAGGAAAGGGCAAGGAAAACGATATGACCATTAACAAGAATCCATATATTATATGATGCAAAATGTGATGTGGACATCGATGTGTACCATACATGGTTATGAACCTAGTAGAGGTGGCAAATGATCGGATTGATGAATTCGTGGATTGCTTTCGTGGATTGAATTCATAGATTATGTGAAGTTATCATTCAACAATCTAAGGTAGACCTGTGGGATCACCATGTACTCACAGCTTAGTGCAGCGAGGCTAGCTGAGCTATGTGGCTGCATCTTATATCTGTTGGGAGGCAACCATTTTCGAGATAGCAGCAACAACTTCGTTTAACAGTGGGGTGGCTATTTAGTCCGGACTTTTGGTTTTACTCGAGACCGAATTGTATAATTTGGATCTAGATTTGATTAGGACAGGATAGCAAACAATCCAATTTTATTTTCGAGCCTAGATTTGAGGTAAAAAAGCCATTTGAGACCTGACCGAAAATCGAATAAAGACTGGATAAGAGAGCCCAACACTCAAAATTTAACCTCCTCATGGATTCATGCCACTCAAGTCCCTCATGCCACTCAAATCTCTCGAACTCAATATAAAATCAAGATCGAATTGGGACCGGATCGGATCAAGACCGGATTGTATTCAATCCAATCTTTGATCTTTATATTCTCGAAAAGAACGGAACGAGACCGAATCAATTCGAACCAATTTAATCGGATCGAACCGTATAGCCACCCCTACTTAGAAGCTTGGCATCTCGGCAGGTAACCCTGCATTTTGAGGGCTTGTTGCCACTAAAAAATTTAACCTCCTCATGGCTTCATGCCACTAAAGTCCCTCCTCATGTCACTCAAATCCCCTCAAGCTCAATATAAAATCAAGACCGAATTGGGACCGGACCGGATCAAGACCGGACTGTATTCAATTCAACCTTTGGTCTTTATATTCTCGAAAAGAACAGAACGGGACTGAATCAATTCGAACCAATTTAATCGGACCGTATAGCCACCCCTACTTAGAAGCTTCGCATCTCGACAGGTAACAACTGAGGCAATGGTGGGCAACAATCGTCCCAGATAACCACTCAATAAGGGCTTCGCTTATGGAAATCCAACCTCTAACACGCCCCCTCAAACGAAAGCCAACTCATGGGCTTGAAGTTTGCATAGGCCACCATATCATGTGCTTTTAATCAACTGTTAATATTAGGGGTCGTGGAGATTCGAACACACGACCACTTGGCCAAACCAGCTCTGATACCATGTCATAAACCAGTTGATCCCAATAACTCGAGTTGTTGGAAGAAGGTTATGCTGGATCTTATACCGCTCTCTAACAGGATAGTCGCTAGCTTATGTCGGTGAACTATAGTGAGATGAGCAGTTATTAGAAACCCACCTTTTAGAGTTTCACTTATTATTCAATAATTATAATTATGGTTAGTAGAGATTTTATTATATAATTTTCATATATGTGTATGTACTTGGGGTCTCATTACCAATCAATGAAGAAAAGTATTAAGTAAAGTAACCCTCCTAAACCTAATCTCTCTTAACTCCTAACTAGCTTTTTACCCGGCCCGTTGGCCGGAGAGTTTCATTTTATCGTTGACATTAATTCAATTTATCTATATGTTTAAACTATTTTAGACCTTCTAAATTTATTATATTTTATATTGATAAGTGAGTACGTATGTGGTGTGTCTATATATTGAAAATTCTCAATACTTAGCACATTCACTTATACTGTTTGAATTCTCTAATCATAAACCATGTCACAAAGGTATACCACGTCCATGTACAATTTTTTCTATCTTATATGAATCCATATTGTTCGGATGAGGACATCTTACGGAGAGTTTCTTTGTATATATACTTCATTATTGGATAAATTTCTTCATCCCAATTTAAAGTTGACACTTTGAATGTTCATGAAGTTTATTGTAAGATCTTATTTGTATTTAGTCTCTTATACAATATGTATCAATTGCTAATTTTTGAAATTTAATTTGGACTAACTGAGACTCATTGTCGTTGTTTATATATTGTTTTAGAATCTCAATCCAAGATACCCACATACGGATTTTGATCTTAATATGGTGCGTTAGTGTATAATTTTACAACTTGTAGAACCATCGTTTTCTAAAATTTATTTATGTTTGGTATTTGTTTAGAAATAAAAATTTCATTACTTATACTAATATATGCATTTTTTGTATTGCCACATTTATGGTCAATATATAAGCATATATATTAAAAAGAGTTTAATTATTTTTAAGTGTAATTATAATTTACATGAATCATAAATATATAATTATTTATGCATGTGTTTTATTACAAAAAAAATGCATGTGTTTGCTAAGAAAGATCATACCTCTTACGATGATTAACTTCTCTAATCTTGCCTCATAGGTCAGTGGTTGATGAATACATGATGTTTAACATACAGTTTAGCAAAGATTCATCTAACTTTCACATGTATCATTTTTTAATGTATCTCGTGTCTCATCTTAAGATATGAAGTCAAGTTCATCAACAATCATACCGAAGTCATTTTAATTTTTTTTTATTTATAATCCTTGAAAATTTATTACTCCACGTCTGAAAATTAAATTTCTTAACATATGACGTAAAACTTCAGTAGAGTTTGCTAAATTAACACGATCTAGAGCAAAAATGCAAAATATTAGTAATTTGAACTTAGGATACATTGTAAATTATTGCACCTATGATTCATATTTTTTTACTTAATTAGAATGAATAAGGTTTTTGTTTAAGAAATAGATTTTATTGCTTGGTCAAGTTTCTATTCAAACGTTTCTTGTTTTCTCTCTTTAATTTCCATCGTTATTTTGTCGCGATAAAATGTTATTATGTATGTGTGTTTGTATAAATTGTTCATCAAAATGTAACATATTTGTAAATTATTGTAAAAATGAGTTAAAAATTTACTTAGTGAGCTTTAATAAGATATTTTTTTGGTTGAGAAAAAAGTTATATGTGTGACTCAAAGACATTAGTCTATTGTTGCGTACATCTCTACAATGCAAAAGTAAAAACAAAAACATAAAAGAAGTATTGGAAAAGATAATAATTAGCAATTGATATGGCATCGCCGATGCAATATTAACCAGACCAACCAAACTTAAAATATTAGCAATTGATATATATTGTAAGATAATAATAATTTGTATCTTGATAGAAAAATTGTCATAAGTTGTTATACAAAAACTTCATGAACATCAACAATAAAAATGAGTGAGGTTTAGAGAATTTAATCATTATAAGGGATACAATGTGTGTCAAATTCCAATTGGGATAAACATAATTTATCCAGTAATCAAGTATCTTTTTCCAATGTTTTGAACTCTGATTAATTGGCTGAGAATTCGTACAAACTCGAGAATCATGAATTGATATTTGTTGTATAAGATAATAATTTTCGATATAGACATACCACATATTCACTTATGAAGCGAGAGCAGAAAATGTATACAAGATCCAAAAAATTCAAACATGTAGACAAGTTAACTAATATAAATAATAAAATGAACTTCTCCGACCAACTGGCCGGGTAAAAAACTAGTATACCTATTATTACTGTGTGTGTATATATATAGTAGACTCAAAATTTTCCAGATACTTTGCCAGACCTATCTTATCTCGCCTAATACTCATATTAAAAGTGCTACTTGCCTATCCCCCACCCTCGGGATAGAGATCCCGCTTTTACCCCATAACGTCAGATAACCATTGAGGTCGTTTATCGTTTGATATGTAATATATAAAGAGGCAAATCCTAAGATCCTGCTATTTATTTCTTATCCTCTCCCGCCGCCCCCTTTATGGAGAATAAAAGGGTAGGGATGACAGGATCATAGCTAAAGGGAGGACTAAATACTTCTGATCACAACCATAGGTGTCAAAAAAGAATGAAAAAAAGCCCAAAAATATAAAAATAAAAAACATAACATCCGATACGATGAACAGAATAAATATTAAATAAATTAGAGATAACAAATGTAATATATGTCACTTTTCATACATTATTTATTATTGTGTACATTGATATAATACAAAAAAAAAAGATAAAAGGGAAATGAAATATTAAATGAAGAGAGGGATAGCTCCATAAATATATCAATAACTATTATTCTTTTTAAAAAATATTATCCACCTTGCAATTTGTAAGCTCTCCAAGTGCTTAGGTGGCAAACAATTACTTTTGGATTGCTATAATATTATGTATAGATAGATAGATAGATTTATCTTCTTCTGCCAATCTTCCTAACTACTAACTAGGACAAACATACTAGTGGATTTCTGGAGTCGGTTATTGGACCTACCGTGCCATTAATCTCTTTCATTTTATGATACCTGAAATGTTATGTTTTTATTTATTTATTGAAGAAATGTTATGTTTTTTATACCTCATTCATAACTAGCATAGTTAGTTAATACACGTATATGTACCCATACGTATTTTATCCGTTTAAAACTTCCGTCTACATATTATTGTCAAGTCGTTTCATTTTCCCTCGTTCATTTGATAGCTCCCGTACTAAAAACATATAAAACCCGTTTAACACGTTTATTATCCTTATTTTACAAAATTAAATTGTTAACTTTAATATTATTTATATATTTATATACTTTTAAAATGATTAATTTTATATCTTTATGACTATTAACGTACTATTAAACGTAACTTTAGCTTAGAAACAAAATATAATACTCGTATATTTTTTTTACGTAACTTTCCTGTACTGTATTTTACTAACTATGATAACTAGAACGACACACCTGAATTGAAATTCAAATTTTCAATTGAATAGCCTTATCGTAAGTACCACCACTGCCCCGCCAGTCCTACTACTGCTTTCCATTCCGGTCCACACTAGATGGTGGTGGGTGGCCTTTGACCCTCTCCCGACGCCATATGCGATGATGCTGGCCGTTTTTTGGTTTTCCGTTGTGTGGGATTTTAGATTTGTCCGAAGAAAGAAGTGTTCGAATAAGGATGGGGAGGAAGAAGGTGAGGGTAATTTGGGCTTTGCACAATTTATCTTCAAATCTCTCATGTCTAAACAAAGAAGGAAATTGAACCATATAACTTGTTTAATATTCCTAGATTTTTAAATGATAGATTTGGGCTCAAATCTCTCATAAATCCCTTGTATTAAATTTCCTCATCCAAACGACTCTTATGGTTGAGGATTTGATTTGAAATTGAGTAATTTGGCATCGTACGTTACGCTCATCCAGGATTCTGGTTGACAATTAGATATATGAATGTATTATGGTGATTTGTTATTTATGTAATTTATTTGGTAACTCCTAAATTTAATGCAGTCACAATCGCGTTTTGAAACTTAAAAAACTTAGGCGTTTTTAAGTCAGTAAAACGCTTCTACACAAAATCTCAGTTTTTACAAGGGTTAATAGCATTTTGTACCCTTCTACTATTACAAATTAACAAACGAACCCCTGTACTAATATTTTGCTCAAACATACCCTTATAATATTAAATGTAACGAAAATACCCTTCCGTCCAATTATCGATTAAGAGGCCGCGTTAAATGGATTGAAAATTTACCTAATTACCCCTCATTTACTCCTAAACACTCCTATTTATGTTTTAATTATTTTATGGGTAGTTATCATAAATGGTCACAACCTACTTGCTTTGTACAAAACGGTCGCAATCCTTTAATTTTGCACATTTTGGTAAAAAAGTTCGAATGAATAACAAAATGGTCAATCCGTCCAATTCCGTCCAAAACTCTGTTACTTTTGCACAGTCAGCTTGACACGTCATTAAATATATTAATAAAAAATTATTTAAATTGGTCTCTTCCCTTTCACCACGACTGCGGCGGCGGCACCGGAGAGGCAAAACCAAAGCAATTCATCGACTACATCTACTTTACTCTCGCCCGCCACACCCTGGCACGAATTCTGACTCCAGGCCGCCGTCCTCGCGCGCTGGATCTGTCGCATATCACGACCACCCCGTCGACGCCACCATTGATTATGCTTTGTCTCGCGGCGACGTCCACGTTCTGTATTTGGACGATGGCATCGCCGATGCAATATTAACCAGACCAACCAACTAAAATTCCCTATCCTTCTGAGCTCGGCCAAGAGAAAAGCAAAGTGCCATTTTCTCAGTTCCCTAAATTAAACTCGGCCACGGAAGTGGTTGGCGATACCCTTTGGACGGCGGAGCCAAAGAGTTCAGTTCTTTACCTTTCCGAGGACAATGCCACTCAGATATCTATCCAGTCCCCAGATTCAGGAAGAGGTAATAACGACGCTCTTGTTTTGCGTCGCGGCGCCGAGCTCCAGATCCAGGACGCAGACACCGTCGCGGGGCAGAGCATAGTCGATGCCGGCTTCGAGGCGGTGGTCGTGATAGGCGGCGGACCCGGCAGGCACGGTGGCGGCGGCTTGGATTCAGAATTCTTCTAGGATGAAGCCAGGGTGCGGCGGGCGAGAGTGGAGTGGATGTAGTCAATGAATTGCTTTCGCTTCGCCTCTCCGGTGTCGCCGCCACAGTCGTGGTGTAAGGAAAGTGACGAAATTAAATAATTTTTTATTAATACATTTAATGACGTGTCAAGCTGACTGTGAAAAATAACAGAGGTTTGAACGGAATTCTCAAATACAAAGTTAAAAGATTGTTACCGTTTTGTACAAAGTGAATAGGATTGTGACTATTTAGGATAACTATAAATAATGTGTCTATCCAAATAATTAAAAATTAAATCTAAGGACCCCAACCACTCCTCAACTCCATCGACTCCTGCGAACAGAGAACTCCGGCGCCCATAAACTTCAGCAACCTTTCATTGATGGTGGCTGGAGCAGGCAGAGAAAGATATGGTGAATCTGTCTCTTCCATCTTCGCAGCTAATGTAAAGCACGCTAACTGCAGCAGCCTTGCCAGTCGCCACCCATACCCGATGATGCGGCTGTGCTCAGAGGAACAAAAACAGAGGAAAAAAGTAGACGAGTAAGAAAAAGAAAATAAACCCACAAGAAATCCAACTAGCGAAACTGTTGATGGCTGATCTTGATGACGAATTTTGACAAGAAGCGGTCAAAGTGAGTGATAGAGAGATGCATCATTTTCCTTCCAGCGGAGCCCAAGTGAAGCTCTCGTCTGCATTACCGGGGAATAAACAAAAACAGGGGTTAAAGAATGAGAAAGACAATTGAATAATGTAGGTGGGGAAGAAAAGAACAACCCACATTGAGAAACCAATTAATGGCTTCAGTACGAACGTCGCTGACCCATTCGTCAAAATCCACACTTTGACCAACTTTGAATACATGGACAGCCTCTTTCTCCACCAAGAATCTTACGAACTCCTCATCCCTGCCGCCACCGATTTCGTACTTCAACCTCACTTCCGTTAACACATCTTCGTTTCCGCCGGACGGTGGTTCTGCCGCTGCCCCACCTTGACAGGGGGTGCAAGTAGCGAGGAAGTGGCCGCTGAAGCCTGCTCCAGCCATCGATGAAACTTGAAAAGGCTGCCGGAGTTGATGAGTCTGGTGAGTTGAAAGGTTGGGATTCCGTAGGTTTAGTTTTTTAATTACTTGGTTAGATATGTAAAATAATTAAAACATAAATTATGAGAGTTAGTAAATGAGGGGTAATTTGGTAATTTTACAATCCATTTTAGCGGTCACTTAACAGATAATTAGACGGAAGGGTATTTTCGTTACGTTTTAATATTAGAAGGGTATGTTTGTGCAAAATATTAGTAAAGGGGTACGTTTGTTAATTTGTAATAGTAGAGGGGTACAAAATGCTATTAACCCTTTTTTATAACTTATGTTGTTTAAAACTTATTTTTAAATTTAAAAGTTTACGATTTTACGTTTCTAGATCACCAAAACATTTCTACGTAGAGACGAGTTTTTGACATATTGCTTGGATTTTCCTACATATTATTTTGTTTAAACTGGCTTAAAACGAAATATATATGATCTGGTTCTACCATGATCAAGATATAAATCGGTTTGACAACCTTGTTGAATTTATTATTATTTTTTTTTTACAAACCTTGTTAGAAGTTGTAACGTAGTAAGTCCGAAATAGGAATAGAGAACTCGGCTCTTGTTTTGGAGAGTTACTATTCGTCGCCCTAAATTTTTAAATTTTGTCGCCCTAAACCATACAAATTTACAAAACAACCCTTCATTTAATTGTATGGTTCAACCACCTAGAATTAATGCCCCAACCAACTAACCCAACCCATTTAACTCTTTCTTCCAACAAAAAACAGAAATATCAAACCAAAAATTAACTCCAAACCACACAACACAAAATCCAACTACAATCTTCTACATTGATAAATTTTCGCCTGATTCCGGCGAGTTTGTCGGAGGTAGAGAAGTAGTCGGTCATAGCATGCAGGGACTCGGACTAAAGGTAAGATTCTGTTTGCAATTTTTTTTTTCTTCTGGAAAACAAGTCGAGCATGTTGAAAATCGGCCTCGACCGGTGGTCAAGCATGTTGAAACCCTGCATCAGCCATGGAACGGACGTGTTGTCCACCTGCCCGTTCCATCCTCCAGGAATGCTCGCAACATGCTCGTCCTCTTGTCTAGGCATGTTTTCAACATGCTCGACCCACGGTTCTTTCTTGTTTTTAACATGCCCGTCACTCGGTCGGGTCTAGTTTTGAACATGCTCGAGTTAATTTTGTGATGTCATGGACCTTTTTTAATGAAAATTCACATAAATTATAATATTATGTTCATTAAGTTTCGTTGTTAATTGTGTTTATTAGGAAGGAGGATAAAAATCTTGTGCCACCATCATTTACTAACAAGGAAACTATTATGGATGATTCGGTAAGTAGTTATTTTTTATAATTTAATTATCGTAACATAATTGTTGCACAACTAAATGTTTTTACCTTGTATTTCTTGTAGGGTGGATCCGGAGTTAATGAGGGTGACAATGTTGATTGCACATCATTGTTTCCAAGTGATGTTTATGATACCCATGATCAAGCTTGTAAAGCGGCAAAGGAGATTGCCATGAGTAATAGCCTTTCCTTGATAGTGGCATCAGTCAAGAGAAACGTTGGAGAAGACAATCCGCGGATCTATATGGATTGCAACCATGGTAGTAGGAGCAACTCATATACGTCTGATCCCGCAAAGACAACACGGAGCAAATCTACACAGGCAAGTTAGGTTGTCGTTTCCGAGTGGTGGTGCAATCCGTAAAAATAGATGGCAAGTGTAAGTGGAGAATTCATGGGATTAAGTCGAGGGGATTTCACAGTCACAGATTGGAGGTTTACTCTGAGGGAAGCAGGCAAAAGAATGCTCTTTCGCAGGTGGAAAAAATGAATATTAAGGAGTTGGAGGCAACACATACTCAGGCGAAAGATATCAGAAGTTTGCTCAATATGAAGTACGATGCTCATCACAACATGACTCAGATTTATAATGAGACAGCAAAAATTAGGCGTGAGAGATTGGGTGGGTTGAAACCTATGCGGTGGACATTGATAGAAGCTCAACGTCTTGGCTACTTTATTGAGTGTGAATTTGATGATCAACGTCGTGTTACTAGACTCTTCCTATGCCATCCTGAGTCGATTCGGATGTTGTTGGCATGGTATTTTGTTGTTTTGATAGTCTCGACGTACAAGACTAACAAGTATAAGCAGCCACTGGTTCAGTTGATTGGTGTTAGTCCGGTGAAGAAGAACTTCAACATTGGGTTCGCATTGATTTCAGATGAGACGAAGGAGACATATGCTTGGGTTTTGATGCAATTGAAGATTGTGCTTGGTGATCGAACCCCGGTTGCGTTCGTCACAGACAAGGCGGGAGGATTGGGTGTCTCTTTGCAACAAATCTTTCCATCTTCAGCTCATTTACTATGTGTGTGGCACATGAAAAAGAACATTGAAGCCAAAATGATGCAGTTGGGGATTGGTCGTGATTCTGCTGAGTTATTTGTAGGAAGTCTATGGGAGAGAGTCTTGCGAGCTAATACTGAGGCAGGGTTCCAACGTCGTTGGCTAGAGTTGCAAAATAGTCAAAGTTGTGTGGATTTAAGTGCAATTATCAAGGATTGACATTTTTGTGTTAAAATGTATGTGGTTTTAGGTGGAATTAATCAATGATTTTGTGTTCAAATTTATGTGGATTTAGTTGAAATTAACCAATTGTGTTCACAATTATTGTTGCTGAAAAAATAGACTAGGCGGGTTGAAAACCCGCCTGCACCACGGACCAAACATTTCACCTACCCATCTTCACCGTGGGTTGAGCATGTTGCACACCCAGCTGATGGATGGTGCAGGAATATACCCTTCCAGCACAAGCCGTGGACAAAGCATGTTGTGAACCCGCCCTCCCGGAGGTCGAGCCATATTTTCTACCCTTCTGACCGCTGGTTGAGCCATATTCCCTACCCGCCCGATGGTGCAAGTAATTTTGTGTGATCATTAAAAATTGTTGTTTGTTATTCATCAAAAAAATTGTTGTTTGTTGTGTTTTTGTTAGATATATAAGTAGTGGTTAAAATTTTTAATTAGTATATAAACACTCAAACATAACACATCCAAATGTACCTTAAGAAATATTCAACATCAATCTTAAGAAATATCCAACATCAACACATAAAATATCCAACATCCAAATGTACCTTAAGAAATATTCAACATCAATCTTAAGAAATATCCAACATCAACACATAAAATATCCAACATCCAAATGTACCTTAACAAATATCCAACATCAACCTTAACAAATATCCAACATCAAAACATAAAATATCCACCATCCAACACACAAACAAACTAGAACTCAACATCTAAACAACAATGTTCAACATTGAACAACTACTCGGCGAATGGGCGATACGGTCTCTATTCCCTAAAGTCAACGTACTTGTCACGAACCCGTTGAACCAAATCACCATAGGGGCCCAACCTGTCAAGATCCTCATCGGGAGCACGAAGCAAGAGATCAATGCCATCAATAATCTGACACGCTCCTCCTCACGAAGTCTATCTGACTCCTCCTGACGTTTTTTTCGCTCAGATACTGTAACGTTGCGGTCGAGAACCCTCGATTTTTCCTTGCCCCTTCTTTCGCTCATTTTTGCCTGCTATCAAGAAAATAAAATTTGATTACTTTCACCGGGCTACTGAGATGGCCAACTAAGACATTGGATAATATCCAAACAAACAATGAGCCTAAGCGATATTCAAATTCTCCAATAACCAACTAACCACAAACCTATAATTCTAAGTGAAATAAGCAGAAATATAACAAAATTTGGTGGCCTGCAACATATTTATCCGGTTTCCATTTTCCTCTGATCTCCTTCCTTCCCCTAAACCCTTCCCTATCTCCCTTGTTCTCAATTTCAAGTCCGACAAAGCAAAGCAAACGCAAAGTAAGAGATTTCACCCAAAGAGCACGATGTCCACATAGTTCATTTTAAACTCAAAGCTCCCTCGAAAAACGAGGGCTGTACATTATTGGCCTTACTTCACCTTCCTCCTAGAGACAAAAGACAAAATGATATTTAAACTCCCAGCACCAGAAGATAGCAAAATTGGTTATTCTCCAGGGTCAGGGCGGGTCGGAAAACAGGTCGGACCAGGGTCAGGGCGGGTCGGAAAATGGGTCGGACCAGGGTCAGAGCGGGTCGGAAAACAGGTCGGACTAGGGTCAGGGCGGGTCGGAGACCGGGTCGGACCAGGGTCGGGGCAGGTGGGCTACCTGCCTCCGCCGGATCCGCGCGGGTGCCCTGCCTGCGTCTACCCCGTCCAAATCGAACGCCCTGGCTGCGTCTACCCCGGCCAAATCGAACGCGACTCAACCGAAAGAGAAGGGAGGGAGAGAGAGATTTACCTCCGGTGGGTCTGAGCAGAAGCAGTGGGTTGCGGCAGTGCTTCGGGTCTACGGCGGGTCTGAGCAGGAGGCTTCTCCTCGACGACAGCGGGTCTTGGTGGTAGATGGCGAGGGCGGCGGGTCTGAGCAGAAGCAGCGGGTTGCGGCTGGTCCTCGGCGGCGGCTCTGGTTGACGGCGTGGTGGTAGATGGCGAGGGCGGCGGGTCTTGGTGGTAGATGATGGCGAGGGCGGCGGCGGGTATGTAAGTTTAGGGAACGGCTGCGGCTGTGTTTTGTTGATTTGGGGGAGAACAGGGTAAGGGAATGGCAGGGAAGGGTTGGGTGGGTGAAATTAGGGTTTAGGTTAAATGAGGGGTAAAATCGCCCATGTATGTAAGTTTAGGGCTAGAAATTAAAAAATTTAGGGCTACGAATAAGAATTCAGCTTGTTTTGTGGGGAAGTGGATCGCATTTCCTATCAAACTGAAAATGCTCCGCTTTACCGTCCGGCTGCTACGCGGAGCAACCTCCGCCGCGATCAGCTGCCCACCCCGCCGCCGCTTCAACACATTAGCGCCGATCCCCGCCGCCGGAGCACCCAACAAGGACGCCTACTTTGCTGCAATCCACCAAATAACCAACATCGTCCGCCGCGACATCTACCCGGAGCGCACACTAAACAAGCTCAATCTCCCAGTTAACTCCGAGCTTGTCTTCCGCGTCCTCCGCGCCCTCTCCCATTCCCCGACGGAATCCATCCGCTTCTTCACCTGGGCCCGAGGACACTACACCCCGACCTCCATCGAAGTCGAGGAGCTCATCAAAACCCTCGCCCGTGGGAAAAGATATGCTTCTATGTGGCGTCTCATAACTCAGATGCGAGATCAGAGCCGGCGGATGGTAAATACACCTGAACACGAGAGAGCTTTCTGCGTTTCCGCCGAGACTGTCTGCTTTATTATTGAGGAGTATGGCAAAGGTGGGCTCGCAGACCAGGCAGTTGAAGTGTTCAATAAGTGCAGCAGCTTGAATTGTGATCAGGGTGTTGAGGTTTATAATTCTTTGCTTTTCGCCTTGTGTGAAGTCAAGATGTTTCACGCAGCTTATGCTCTGATAAGAAGGATGGTTAGAAAGGGTTTGGTTCCTAATAAGCGGACCTATGCTGTTCTTGTCAATGGGTGGTGTTCCAGTGGGAAATTTAAAGAGGCTCAGGAGTTTTTGGATGAGATGAGTAAGAAGGGGTTTAACCCTCCTGTGAGAGGGAGGGATTTGTTGATTGAAGGTTTGTTGAGTGCAGGGTATTTGGAGACTGCCAAGGATATGGTTAAGAAGATGAATAAAGAGGGTTTTGTTCCGGATGTTAATACTTTTAATTCTTTGGTGGAAGCAATTTGTCAATCAGGGGAGATTGATTTTTGCATGGAAATGTATCATGGTGTGCGCGAATTAGGTCTTGTTCCTGATATAAATAGCTATAAGATTTTGATTCCTGCAGTTTCAAAGGTGGGTAGGATGAATGATGCTTTTAAGCTGTTGCATAGGTCCATCGAAGAAGGACACAGGCCATTTCCTAGCCTGTATGCACCAATAATCAAGGGACTTTGCAGGATAGGGAAATTTGACGATGCATTTTGTTTCTTTGGTGAAATGAAGGTAAAAGGTCACCCTCCTAATAGACCAGTCTATACAATGTTGATAACCATGTGTGGGCGTGGTGGGAGGTCTTTGGAGGCAGCCAATTATTTAATAGAGATGACTGAGATGGGGTTGACTCCTATTTCCAGATGTTTTGATTTGGTTGCTGATGGGTTAAAGAACTGTGGGAAGCATGATCTGGCTAAGAGGATAGAGCAGTTGGAAGTATCTCTTTCCACGGTGTGATTGCTGCACGTGGCAGGCAGACTCAGAAATGTAAGTTGATGATTGTGAAGAATCGGGATTCCATCAACAGATATCATCTCCAAACAACTTTTATTCATTTACTTATTATAAAGTTCGCCATAGACATGTGAGTTGTTGTTTATGAAGAAAGGTTTGCTGTTTGCAGCTATTGGTTGCCCTTAAATCTCTGTTGGAGGAAGTTGATTGTATCAGTGTTCAACTGGAATGCCTTGGCAAGTATTTCGCGGTTATGCGGAGGATGAGAGCCAAAGATAGCATTTGCTATGGTAATAACTCCAGGGTTTTTGCTGCTGAAGCTATTTATCGCCAGTGCGCTGTTGTTGGCAGTATTAAGCTGGTAGTGTATGAGACCAATAGGGAAGACAAACACATCTCCTGGGTGTAGTGTCTTGGTAATAAGGCGGTTTTCAGGACTTGATGTGATAAAGCCAACATGGAGGATGCCTCTCAGGAGTGTTAGGATCTCTGTAGCATGAGGATGTATGTGTGGCGGGTTTAAGCCGCCATTTGGTGCATAGTCTGTTCTCGCCAGGGACAAACCATCAAGTCCTGGAATCTGATTAGTGGATAAAAGAGTTATGGTTGACCCTACTCTGTTGTCAGTCTCTCTGGTAGCATCCAGTCCTGAGAAATAGAAATCTTCTGCTTTCGCAGCTTCTGCATTCTTGCAGAGTTCTCCATTGGAAAAATCTGCAGGAAAGAATAGATAGAAGCTGTTATTAGTCATCAGGTGCTGTTGCCGTCGACGAGAAGATCTCTTGGAAATTGAAAAATATTAGAGAGATCGGGATCTACATGCTCCATTGCCATTGGGATTGTTTATTGCCACACAGAAGTCCACCTGAGGGGTGAAGTCATCACCAGAAGCAAGCAAGGAAGCCAATGCAAAGAAGGTACACGTTGCGTGGAAATACCCACCTCTCATTGAAATCTTCACGTACTTATTTATTATTTAAAATTTAAAGATCGATAATTGTTTGAAGGCATTACAAAAAGCTGCTTTTAAATATAGCTTTGCAAAAGCTATAATACAAAGGTTCTGGTCGCGTCTCTTTCCCATGTTTCAACTACCGGTCTTTATTCCCTTTTTCTAGTTCACTTACTTACAAGAGTGGCAGTTCTTACCAAACTGCTGTTATTTTAGGGTACAAATTTGCTCATTGAATACCTAGAAAATCATTTTTTTATCTTTATTTAATTCATTGATAAGAGTCTCAATTTACCAGAAAATGAGATGGAGCAATCTTAGCATATTTGTTGCACTTCTGACCATTATTATATTGCATTTCTAGCATTAAGATTTTCTTCTTTTATTTTTCTTTCTCAGGGCATGTCCAATGAATATGTTCCCTCCAAACTGCTCCCTCCAAACTGTTTCTGGAGTTAATAGACTATATTCTTATCCAGATGGAAGGCCTTTGCCAGAACATGAGGATTGATAGTAGGGTTAGATCCAAATACGGCATTTGCTATGGTGATAGCTCCTGGGTTCTGGCTGCTCAAGCCTGCAACAGAAACTGCACTAGTGAGGCCAATGTTGAACTGGAAGTGAATGAGTCCGATCAGGAACACAAAGATGTCTCCAGGGCAAAGGACTTTGGTTATGAGTTGATTATCAGGGTTAGACGTGGCAAAGCCCACAGCAAGTGTTCCTTCAAGGACAACCAGAATCTAAGTAGCTGGAGGGTGAATGTGAGGCGGGTTTAAGCCACTATTTGGTGCGTAATCAATGTGGGCCATTGATATTCCGAGCGTGTTGAGTCCCGTAATACAGTTAGCATTCAAGAGAGTGACATTTGAACCCAATCTTTTCAATGTGTTCTAGGAATGTTGTGCCCCGTGATTGAGAAATCGTTTGCTGCTGCCAGCTTTGGGTCCTTGCAGAACTTCCCATTGATAAACACTGGGTCAGGGAAGACACATAACATTAGTAGTGATTAGTTATTTACTAGAACGCAAAGGTAGATTCCATGAACCTTTGAAGAAGCTATATATATACCTCCGTTGCTGGGTTTATTTATTGCCACACAGAAGTAACTGAATGGGGCTAGGGTCATGTGCAGACTGCAGAGGCAGGGAGGAAGACAGAGCCAGAAGAGCAACGACAGAGAGAAGAAAACTGTAAGCACTCATCGTTGTCATATGCTATGCCATCTAACAATCCTATATCTTTTGCCTAATTATGATCTGTTTTGGCTAACCACTTTGATATGCAATGTGAGGTGAGAGTTCTTGTATAATTTGCTTGGCTAACTCGTCGAAAGGGAACCTCCTTGAAACAATTCACGTTTCTGCAATAAACTTGAAGGATCCAATTAGTAGTGGGGACTGTCGGGTTGAATATTTTATGATAGAGTAACCTAAATTGTTTGCTTGACTTGATGGATTTGGTGAAGGATTTGAGTCCATGATAGACTTTGTCCAAAATTCATTGTTTGCTTCAAGTATTTAGAGTTAACAAATCTGTAGGGACACATGGACTTTGAGGGTCCAAATATGTGGGCCCCACAGACATGATAATCCCACATCTTTAAGTGGGAATGGATCATGGACTTTGAAATTCATCATTTTTTACCAACTTACCCCTCATATTTTCTTTCACTTCTTATATCATTAAGGGCAATAAAGGTAAATTTCACTTCATACACACAAATTTAAATAACAAAATCCATAATGAAATCCATGAAACAAACAATGGTGTTTTCAAATCCATAATGAATCCAAAACCCTCATATATCCATGGGTTTTCAAAACCCAAGTTATACGAAAACCTTATTCAATTTGGAGCATATGAAGAAAGCTTTCTTTCTGATCTTATTCAATTTCTAGTGTCAGAGAAGGATCACTCCTAAAAACAACTCTTCTCTTATTTTTCCAAGCCGCCATTCTTTGTTTGCATTGAGTTACTGGAATCTCCAATCTTGAAGCTGATTACGCTTGCCTCAGATGGATTAGGCGGGGACGAGATTCGAACCTGCAATTGATAGGGCAACGACGTAATGCCTCGATTCCTATCTATATATTTAAGTTATGATAGAAGGTTTTTCCGGACGATCAGACCGTTGGTGCAATACGGTGCGGTACGATTACACAAACACGGTCTTTTTTATCCCAATCCTTTTTCTTCTTCATTTCCTCCTATTTTGTTTTTAGACTAATTTTTATTTGATTTTTTTTTCAATGAATCTTTTTAAAGGTTGTTCCAAATATGCTAATTGCAAACAAAACATAATTTTGCTTTACTTCATCATTAATGAATAATACTTGGTGTGATGAATTTAGTCTTCATAAGAAATAGACACGTCATTTGGTATAATTACTTAAATTTTATATATTTAGAACCAACACTGATTCATGTACAAGTATAAGGTAACAAATTTGATATTTTTAATTGACAAATATGAGCATAAATTCGTACAATCAAACTTTCTAAACGTCCTTAGAAGATGAGTACAAATTAGAGAGAATGAACAAATATGTGTGTATGAAAATGTTAGTAGAATTTTCAAATTATGACATGTATTATAGGAAAAAGACTTTACCCTTTAGTCTGAGAGGAAGAAGGCTACTCGCATAAGCAAAGTACAATACTTAATATTCCACAAATAGTAATAGACTTCATTTTCCTCATCGTTGAAAAAGGATGAACGTGTACATATGATAGACTTAATCGCAAGCTAATAATAATTAATTAAAAATTGAATGTAGAAGTATGTATTATATTTATTAAATACTAAAATCATTGATTAATGTCAACTGCTTAGTTGAGGAATTAAAGTTAGTTACATTCTCACAAACCTATATTAGGAGACCACATATATGTTATGAAATAAATTGTGAAAGCATCATTAACCTGAACCGGCGGTTTTATAAAAAAAAAACTCATATCGGAGGCTAATCCGGTAGGCAATATTTAGCGATATGAAATTATTGAATTGAAGTTTCAACATTAAAATACTATACCATTAAATTTTCGTGTATAACCTCCAGTACAATTTTACAATTTTTATCTAAAAGACTTACAATAATTTAAATATAATATGAATTATCTTATCTTGGTCGGGGCATAACTAGTGGGTCAGTGAGAAGCTAAACATAATATTTGGTTGAGCTGTCAACTGTGTGTGGAAATGGGTTAAGTATTTTCTTAAAAATTTAAGGAAATTTGAAGCCCACTTTTGATAATCCAAAAAGTCCAACTAGTGCTCAATTACCCATTTACGTATGATACGCGCAGGTCGACTTGGTCAACGTCATTTCGTTGAAACGCTTCCAATTTGTATACGTATTACTTACGCTACACGGGTAGGCACATGAATAACCGACTCCCCAACGTTGTAATAACCGACTCACCATCTCTATATATATGTAGCAGCCGAAGTGGCTTTTAGAACCTTTTTATTTTTTTTATTTTTTTTTATTGGCTTTTAGAACCTCTCTTGTCTATGCAGAGATCCCTATTATTTAGAGGCGCTTCCCAAATGAGATAAATCCACAAATGGCGGCCGACGGCGGGTTTCTTTCATTGGGATAGTTTTTAGCGGCTAGTAGAGAGTAGTGGTGTCTCTCTTAGACTGGGTCTCCGCTTGATTGGTGTTGGCGTTTGCGGCAGATGTCCCATGGTGGGTTTGCAAGATTTTCGAGGGGTTTATCAGTATGGGAATCGTCACATTAGTCTTCTTATTGCGTGGGTAACAGACTCAAAATCTTTGATTTAGTTGCTTCGTGTTCCCTAATTCTGACGGTTTCAAATTACAAAGGTTGCTGCTACGTCTTTGTTCTTCTTATGCAGAAGTTGCTAGGAAAGTGGGTAATTGGTTGTGCAATTCGCGTATACTCGCTGTTGGTTGGTTTCTTCGGTAGTAGCAAAATCGATGGTTAGGGGTTTCCGTTTGATCATGCCAGTTAGGGTTTGGCTGTGGCCTTCACTTTGCGTTCCGCTGCGGGTGTAACTTTGTGAGTATTGGAGATGCATTTACTACGAGAAGGTTAGAAGGCAGCCAAGTGCTTCTCGGCTAGATCTATTACATGAGTTGGATGGTCTATTTCCGTCGCTAGGTGGAGAAATCTTTTCTCCGGTATGATTCCTCAAGTCCCTTCTCTGTTGCCTAGAAATTTTCAATCCTGATGGAAACTCGTAGAGTTGTGCCTTGATTTGCCTATCTATACACTTGCTGTGATAACATGTGAATTAGTATCTTTTCGCTGAAGTAGACTAATACCTGGTATTGTTGTTGGTCTATAATTTCTGATTATGGTTATTGGACTATTTCTATTGCAATCTGGCGGCACCTATGAAATTTCTTCATTTTATCTCTGAAATGTTTCATTCAATCATTGGTCACCTCATGTACCCATTGTAATTGGTGATCCAAAAATGAATATCTGTTGCCATATTGATTTAGTTGATGCGACCGTTTAGTCACTGCAGTTTCCCCTCTGCTCTATCCTATTAAGTGTGGAGTCCTAGAGGGGAACTCTCGAATGGTTAATAGAGAAAATCAAGTAAATACATGGATTGGTGGCCATGTTTGAGAAAAGAAGTTGGTCCGGAAGTTGTGTCCCGTTGTTTCTACAATCATAATTGTTTCTAATCATTCCAGTTGCCCCTCTGCTCTACCATATTAAGTGTGGAGTCCTAGAGGGGAACTCTGGAGTAACAGAGAAAACCAAGTAAATACATGGATTGTTGGCTATGTTTTTGGCTATGTTTGAGAAAAGAAGTTGGTCCAAAACTTGTGTCCGTTGGTTTCTACTATCAAAATTGTCTCTAATCTGTCCAGTTGCGTTATGCACTATCCTTACTTAGTGATTGTCCCTACCAGAGTCCTAGATGGTAACTCTGAATGGATTAAAATACTTACTGAGAATTTTCTTCTTTAATTTTTTTTACTGAGAATGAGTCAGAATGTGGGTCCGGAAGATGTGTCTCGTTGTTCCTACAATTGAAATTGTCTTCATTCATTCTAGTTGCCTTCTACTCCATCCTTACTCAGTAAATGCCTTTACAATACTCCTAGATGAGAACTTTGGAATGAGTAGTACTTACTGGGGAAGAGTAAGAATGCTGGTTGTTCGAAAGTCAATTATTTAATCAATCTAGTTTCCCTTCTGCTATATCTTGTTAGGACAGTAATAAATGTAGTCCTAGAAGGGAACTTTGAGTGTTGGATTCCAACCGAGTCATACATGGACTAGTGGGTAGCCATGCTGTTAAATGTTGTGTCCCTTTGTGTGTTTCTTTGAGATGATCATGAAGTTTGCTAACTGATAGTCGTAGTAAGAATCCTGAAAGGGAGTTTTTAAATGATTTAAGTAACATTGTATCGAAATAATATCCATTATGTCTGGGTTTAGTTTATCAAATGTTGTCCCATTCATCATTTCTTGGAGGTATGCACTGGTGCGCAACCTGTTATTCCCTTTCGTTTTTATCTATGCTCTTGTGTAACCATACTCTGTTGCTTTTTCTTTCAATTTCTCACCATTATAAAAAAAAAAAATCCAACTAAAATGGCTTTTGGACAAAATTGCCAAAAAGTACAAAAATGCCCTTCAAATTTTTTTTGGCGCAAATCGGTAACTATTAGGCTTTAGCATCGGTTGAGAAAAGCCGCAGGCCAAATCCGTGTTTTGTAGCATTCAAAATCAAATGAAAATGCCTTTCGAAACAAGAAAGTGGACGTCCGAAGGACATATTTTCGACGGTCTGGAATGGTGGAGGCTGAGTTGAGCTCGTCGTTATCAGGCAGAGTTAGTGGCAAAACAATTGCTGAGTTGGAGTCCTTGTACGGTTGGGATGGATGGGAAGAGCTTGATCGTTGGGTGGAAGGGTATGACAATTAAATCGGTTACTTCTTGGAAGTTCTGAACACTGGTCAGTTTTCTTAATGTGGAAGGAAATTTCGGACTTATACATGCCATGCCAAAATTAAATGGCCTTTTTAGATAACAATCCAACTTGTAGAGGGTGTTACATAAAAGATCGGAAGAGATAATATCACTGTATTTATTGATACACCAATATATTTTAGAATTAACTCCAAATTTTATGGTTCGTTTGCTTTATGGATTTGATGTATGGGTTTGAGTCAAATCCATTGTCATCATGAATTTAGCATAAAATCTTTTGTTTGTTCTACATTTTGGCGGTACCCATTCGCAATCTGCCAAAATTAAACTGAATAAATCTGTCCAAACCAGAGCTTAATATACATAATCATCGATGAAGAATAACCTCAAGAGCGAATACGTGATCTGTTGACTTCAAAATTCTAGAAAAATGGTCTTTCAAAAAAAAAAATGCTAAAATATTTATGAAAATACCCGTTGAATAAATGCACGCACATCGTCGATTAATAGACTTCATCATTGATGAATAATAGCCTCAGGACGAATATGTGATCTGTTGCCTTCAAAATCCAAGAAAAATGATCTTTTGATAAAGTCTCTTGAAATATGTGATTGTAAAAATGGCTATTCGAAAAATTTGGCAAAAAATAGGAAAAATGCCTTCAGAAAATTTTCCGCCCAAATCGGCGACCAATAGACATTATCATCGGTGGAGAATAGCCTAAGACCGAATCCGTGATCTTTAGCCTTCAAAATGCAAGAAAAATGACCTTCCGAAAAATCGCACAAAATTTATGATTGTACTGCTTTGGAAATCTGTTCAAATTAAATGGCCCCCGAAAAAATCCAAGCTTAATAAACTTCGCACAAATTGAAAAATATCAGGAAAAACAAAAACACACTCGGGCACAAATGAAACACAACAACACAAATTGCTCCCTGTAAAAAAAAAAAAAAAACACACACAACAACACAAATTGCCGAGATGAAATAGTGACATACTTCCTGATGATCATCTTTTCTTTTTTGTTTTTTTTGGGCCACATATAGTCTTGATGATGATCAGCTTTAAATTAGCATGTAATTATTAGTTAGTTAATCCTCCTGCAGTTCCTCCTGACTTCTCCACTGGTCCCGGTGAGAGGGCTGAGGTTCCCCATCTTGACCATAGCGGCGGCGAAATCCCTGAGGAAAGAAGCAGAGTCGTTGCTATAAGCCCTGACGGCGGCGTCCTGGGACCCACCGTTGAACAGCTCCTGGTCGGAGCGGAGCAGCCCGCGCCTGGCCACCAGGTCGCTGTAGTAAGTGTTGTCGAAGCGGTTCGGGGTGCTGTCGAGCGGGGCGAGGTTGGCGTCGCCGCCGGTGGCGGGGCAGTTGGCCCTCCGGGTGGTGGCGAAGGCGGCGGCTATGTTGGTGTCGTTGTAGATGCGGCTGCGGAAGTTGGTGCACCGTGCCTGCCCGATCGTGTGGGCCCCGGAGAGGACGGTCAGTTCGCTTGCGGTGAAGCCTTTGTTGGAGAACACGTTCACCAGCGTTGCCAGGCTGGATCCGGGTGCCGGGAGCTGGTTGTTGGCGGCGGCCTGGCTGGCGGTTCGAGCGTCGCGGCGGCCAAGTGGGACCGTCCATGATTGCCCGCCTCGCTGTTTCGTTGCCCACAAAGAAGTGAAGTTTCTCAAGTAAGAAATAGAAAGACTTGGAGTCAATAAAAATTATTAGGGAAAAAAGTGTGATTTTTCATTTACGCATTCACTCTTACGTGAGTAAATATAGTATTACATGAATACACATTAAATGGTGTGAATGAGCACAAAAATGCGTGAATAAACTGGCATTTGGCCGTGTTTTGTCACTTAACGTGAGAAGAGAACTTTTCCAATGTACTATTCAATTTTATACTCTCTCAAATGAAAGTTAATCAATTTATAAGGGACTTTAAGTTGCACATATGTTTGAATATGATAATACTGTATACTTCATAAATGGAGGTCATTTATAAGATTCTTCTACAAAATTTCTCAACCACAAAAGGCTCAAATATCATGTTAAAAATTAGTTGATTATAATAATTCAAATTATTGAGAGATTATCCCATTTACTAACACTAACTTTGATGAACACTATATATATGGTGAAGAGAAGGTGATAGATAAATATATATTACCAAGACGACTCCATCTCTGGCGGCGAGAGCAAGGATGTCAGCACAAGAAACGGTGGCGTTACAAGCGGCCTCGACCCTGGTCTTAATGTTGTCCATGACGACGAAACCTCGGAGAGAATTCTGGTTCGGCGCCGCATTCTTCTCGCCGGTGAAGGTGGCCGTGTCGTCCAGAAGTACGGACGCGTCGCATCCCTGCATGCATGCATGCATGCGCTCAATTCAACGTTAGAGAAATAGAATTGAAGGTGGCCTAGCTAGCTAACTAGTCAGAGATCTACTTACGTTGACGAAGCAATCATGGAAGAAAAGGCGAAGCATGACAGCGGCCACCCGGAGTTCATTGTTGACAGCTTGAGTCATTTGGTTGCGGACGATTGTGAGGAGGTTCGGGCACGAAGTGGCGTAAAAGTTGGCAGAAAGTTGTGCGTTGCCGGAAGATGCAAGCAGCGACACGGCCAAAAGTAGGGCCAGGCAAAAGAACTTAGCAGCAGACGCCATTGGAGTTGGAGGAAACAAACAAGTAATTGGTGAAGCTGCTTAATGAATTGATGATGGCTCTCTAGGTTGGTGTGTCATAAATGGACGTGCTTAACCTAGTATTTATAGCTCTCAAAGTTGACCTTTCTGCACGCTTATATGTAATGTAACACATTGGATATGTTCGTTGCGAGTTTCAGTTGTTCGATTGTATTCTCAACAACACTCTCTGTATTCATCACCGCTAGTTGTATTATAAAATGGTTGCCAAAGGTTGATGTAGTAGTACGGGAAATGGGAAATGGGAAACTAGTGACGGAGTTTCAAACTATGAGACGCGTTTTTCCGGTCGTGTTTTTGGCTGTGCATGGGTGATATTGCAGAGCAGAGAAGCGATCCTCCCAAAATCCAAACTAGAGAGTAGATATGATTATTGCCTGTTAAACAAAGAAGACTAATTACAAGCACGAAATGAGGAAAGCTACAAAATAGGATTCTATGTAGCGCCGACTATCTGCTCACACCGCGCAATAATTTTCGGTTGCTTTCCCCGTCGAGTACTCGGAAAGTATGTTCGTTATCTTCGTGCGTTCTTTTATTCTAATCGAGTTATGTGTCATTGAATATAAAAACATCATGATTCGTGATTTAATGTAAAATTTAAAGTTGTACCATAATATTAAATGTATAAATTCAAGTTGTATTGTAAAGGAATTTGTGCCCTTATGTTATGATACAATTTTACAACTTAAAGTTGTACCATCACATAAAGGTACAAGTTCAATTTGAACCATAAAAATATTTGTACAAAAGAGTATAGGTACAATATGAAGCTGTACCATAACGTTAAAGGTACAACTTCAAGTTGTACCATAAAGGCAAAACCTATAACACCAATGCTATATAGCATTGTAAAATTCCTCAAATATCATAGGATATGCATCATATTGTACCCCCTCCACCGATGTAATATTTGCGTCTAACTATTTGTCTCCAAAACCTAGTTTTCTTGTAGTGAGAGAATCCTGTGTTCGCCTCCAAGAACACAGACTAATGGGTGCTAGTTGCTTCTTGTTAGAAACTTAACAGAAAAATTCGGGTTATTCACAGGTGGTGGAGGGAGAGGGTTAGAGGGTGGGTACCGGGACCCACTCTAGTTCGAGAAAATGGTAAATTAGGTATAAAAAATAGCATGTATTTAAATGAGAATGAATGACCTTTCAAATAATTGATGTATGATTAATAAGTTGTGTATTGTCTTATTCAATGTTTTTATAATGAGCTATGTACAAATGACAAAGGTGCATCTGATTCATTCAAAATTAAAGATGTACTTATTCAATATCGACAAAGAATTTCAGCCAAATTACAGCTAATGTGTAAAATTAAATTTATTTCAATCAGGGTTAGGGAGAGTGTAATGGGTGGCTCCTAAGGACAAAAATGAGTAAATTGGTATAATAGTTAATTGATAATAAAATTTATGACACTTCTAATTGAGAATGGTTGACTGAAAGATCATGTTTTCGAATCTTGGCGACCCAGTTACTAACCACATGATATTCGAATTTGAGAAAACTTTAAGCACATATAAGTTGGTTTTCATTAGCGGAGAAGTGTTAGTAAATGCTAAATAGTATAAGGTCCATTAATAAAATTTCCCCAACAACTCGAGTTATTGATACTAAATGGTGTTGACAAAGAACATCATTCAAATCCAGATGTCTAACTAAATCATGAATAATTGTTTGATACATGATAACTCGGTATTTGCATATGTTTTAGTCCATCATTCTTCCATTGTTTGAGACTTGATTCTCGCGTTTTAAGACAATTTCACGCTAGTTTGTTCTTGCATTATGTATTTCTGGTCTTGGATCAGCTATGCAGGCTTATGAGCGAGTTACGGCTCAAAAGCACCAAGTGGACGAAAGAAGGAGTTCGAGGACCAAAATCCCCGGTCAGCCATCAAATACCCGACCATGCAAATGCCATTAGAGACTGGGAAAATCGTCCAGGGATTTTCCCCTGGTCTAGACCCCTTAATCCCCGATCGGAGAATCGCACCCGAGATCAGGTTTTGCTGGCTCGACAACTTACCGCTGATCGGCATTTTGGGAAAACCCGGTCTGTCCTTCAAATACCCGACCAGGTAATCAGGCCTAGGGTTCCGTACTCGGGCTTTTTAGAGCCAAACACGAGTTTTGACAAGGCATTCGAGTTCTGGAGCAGAAAACAAAGGTTTGGAGAGAGAAAGTGACAAGCAAAGTCCATTGGAGTGCCCTAGATCAAGTTTTTCAATCATTGAAGCTCGATTCAAGCCTTGAGGAGTGACGATTGACGACCCGGAGTAGATTTCTTCCGTTTACACGATGATTTCTACATCCGACATGGCTTTCCTCTCTCTCTCTCTCTCTCTCTCTCTCTCTCTCTCAGGAGTAATCCCCCTCTACCACTTGGGTATGAAGAACCCTAGTTTTGCATGTTAGGAGCAGTTGTATGAACCCTTTTCAGTACATTGATGATTATATATCCAATTGCAGTGGTTTATTCCGAAATCTATGAGTCTTGATCACACTTGTATGTTTCCACCTTTGACCTAGAACGATATCTGAATAAGTCAATAGTGCATGCATCTTGCATTGGAAGTGATGAATTGATTGTGCAAGAGTCAATCGATTCATTGCTCTGTGCCGGAATTCATTCCAGTAGAGGAGATCTGTCCTTAATCCTTATTGCCTCAACACTTTATCTCGGTGATGATTAGTAGCCTGTCGGGTAACGTGTCTTAGACAACGTAGTCAGTTTAAGAGATTCCAAACTAGGTCCAGATCTTTCGCAATATAAATCTGAATTGAGCTCCAAAGTAGGCTTCACAAAACAGTTTTCTGCCTTAGCCATTTTCTGGCAGTTTTCCAGTTTTGAGGTAGCAACTTTGAGGCCTTGGAAAACAACCTTAATGACATCATCTGGCTCCACAAATCATATCATTGGAAACATGGAAACTTTATCTACAAAACAAACCCTTAACCTTGAATTTCCACCAAGCCAATTGAGAGAACCATGCCTCCGAATTATGTACCCTGAACACAGATTTTGACTTAGCCAAATTCTGCTCTTCTTCTTCCCAACTTCGATAGCTTCTTCGTCAAGTAAATTAAACATGTATAATGGACCATTTGGGATCATATCAAACCTTTACAGCTTTCTGTTTAATTTTCTTTGAACACTTCACTAAACTTTTCCCGCTAGATAATAGAACTTCACGGAGTAGGCAGTGCATCTAGGCCCCATGTTGACATTTATTATTTGATCCCACTATACTGCATTTCCATTATGCGATTACACTTGGTCGCAGTTTGGTGTTGTGTCGTAGAGAGTTAATACATATAAAGTGATATTCTTGATAGTTTCGATACATATTTAATTTACCAAGGTTGGGTAAATACAAAATTTTATCATGAAGGATTTAAAAAACTCTCAAAATATTTTATCGTATCTTTTTCTAAATGGACCCACCCTCGATAAAATCTTGGCTACCCCTGGTTATCCATGTTGCTGAGTCGTCTTGATCTTATGGCTCCATACAGATCACTGACATTCAAAATTCTATATCATTGTTTTTTTTTTCTCATATTATTGGCATCATGAGTCTTTTGATCAAAGATCAACATATCATTCATAATGCAAGTATCGTTCTCAAATTTGTACTAAATGCACTTGCCACTTTCATTTTAAATCATGAGAGAGAACCATATTAATCATGTCACGGTTTTTAGAGTTTGTTTCAAATCATATCATGATTTGTCTAACCATAGAAGTTAAAAGCATGGTCAGGAACATATAACAACCCTTTGGTTGTCCCATATAGATTTCTTTATCTCAACCACCAATTACAAAAGTACTTTTAACATCCATATGATGCAGAACAAAAGTAATCAGATCACACAAGGATGTTATTCTACATATTGGCGAAAAGATATCACATAAATCTATAATTTTTCGTTTTCGCCTAAAACCTTAGATGCTAAGGGATCCCTATACTGATAAAATAACCATCAGGTTTCATTATTCTTTTAAAAATTAATTTATTACCCATAACTTCATTGCCATGAGGTAACTCTTAAAAATGCCAAATCATGTTAGATTTCACCGATATATTATTTAAGGCTTCACATCCAAAAAATAACTCTACAATATTCTAAGTCTTACTAGACTCCCATGAACATTCCATTTTGTTAATAATGACTTCTTCCCACAAATCTGCATCTTTATGGAACTTCAATCTTCTAGTAGACTTGTAGGATCTTTCTAGGGTGAAACAAACTTAGAACCAAGAGCCTTTAGAGATTTATGGTTCATTTGCTTTTACTAGGTTAAGACCGAAATTCGTCACCCTACTAGTTCCATTATTTCTAACAGTAGGAAGGATACAATCAAGAATATCACTTTATATTGGCATCACAACATAATGGGTACTCAAATTATGAGACTTATGTGTTTTTCTATAGCATATCCAATATAACACACTCTTATGCTTACTCATAATCATATTGCACTGACTCTCTAACTCTATCACCAACCAAACAAATAATTTGTGCAATCAATAATACTGAGATAAAGCATTTCAAATAAGCATTTCATCATATTTACCCATATCAAAATAAATCATATCCAAAAATTTGAATTCTCTAATAACATTTACCCTTTGGTTGTCCTATGGGTCTTCAAGCTTGGATAGCTCGAATTGACATTCAGACAAACATAAAAATAAAGGGATACGTGGGATAGATACTCGGCATAATCAACTGTCATCGCTTGATTGATAAGAGCCTTTCCAAACTCTTCTGGATTCTTTAACAGAAAAACTCAAACAAAGATCTTGCACTAGCTATGGAATCCACCAATAGCTAAAACAAAAAATACACCTCAGTGTAAAATTCTTATTTATCAAATATAACTCTAAAATCGTGTTTACAACCCTTTAAATAGGTTTGGTAAAATAAAAATATAGAAAATAAAAAGAATCCTAAACAAAAAAGGAAGTTTAACTCGTTAGGGACAAATCCCCGGTTCGAGATCATTCTGCCTTTTAATCCCCGTTCGCTCCCTCAACTTCCTCGGTCAGGGAATTGACAACTCTGGCCTGGTCTTCTCTTCTACATTGGCCGCCGGAATCACATCATATAGTTTATTAGATTTCTAGTATGCTTCAAGTGACTTGTGGTATGCTTTAAGAAACTTGTGAAATGATTTAATTTGTAAGCTTTTTGGTATGCTTTCTTGTATTTGTGGTCTAGTTTATGAATTTTGTGGTGCAGTGAGGTTCTTATATGCTCTATACAAATGAATTTTCTTGTATGTTTTCGAATTTTGTGGTTGATAAGGATCTTGTATCCTTTATGATATTTGTGGTGTGGTTTGTTGTGTTTTTTGTTTACCATTTTTTATATGCTTCGTGATAATTACGGTGAGTCGAAATTAATGCCTAGCACCACACACGTGTGTCTCCAATATATAGTAATGACAAGTGATCCCCTCTATTTATAAATCCACATTAATTATGGTCAATGAGTTGAATTTAAAAAAAATTATCAAAAGAAAATGTTCCTATTGACGGGAGATAGTATTAACACCATCCTAACAAATTGAAAGTTATCACACTAATTTCTGTCAAACAAAATTTATTAATGTTTAAATATATAAGTGTATTAATATTAATGATTTTTTTGGTACTTACTCGAGTTTATGAGAAGGAAATATACACTTTCATAGCCATAACTATTCGCGTTGTGACAAATATAGCCAAATTTTGAAAAATATACTTGTATAGCCACTTTTAATAACTTGCTTGACAAATTTAGATATTTCCGTCACAAACTTTAACACCATTAACTCTTCAATGATGTGGATGTACACGTCATCAAATGTATGCCACGTGTCAGTTTAAAATCATTATTTTAAATATTTTCCTTTAACACCCAACAGTTTCGTCGCCGACCAGAGTGAAGATAACCTTCTCCCGATCCTCTCCATCGCTACCGGCAACTACTCCCTGTCCAACAAATACTCTATTCCTCTCTGCCATAGTCTCTGGAGCCAGATCCACCGCTTCTGCACCACTCCTGATTTTTTTTCATCACCACCACAACAATTCTTACCCTAGCTCAAGCAGCTTGACGGAGAATCATAATGGAATTCGTAACCGGAATCTGGAATTATGTTCTCCGACAACCCTTTCTATCCATCCCCAAATCAAATCCTCAATAATCGGGGAACCCTTTCATCTTCTTTCCTCTCGAGATGGAGCAACAGGGGAAGCCAACAACTCCAGATCTCGCACGAATAGAGAGACAATGGAGCTTCCTGTTTCTGTTTCTTACTCACCCGATGTCGTTGTCGAACATACTTACCCAGAAGGAACCCACTTTGTCTTCCCCTGGTTTCAAGTCCCGATTATCTATGACGTCAAGGCGCGTCCTCATCTGCGCAATTACTGAACACAGGCGAAAACAAAGAGTCAAAAAATGGCGGAGGGATCAGATCGCTCCAACTCCTCGAATCCAAAAAAACAAAAATGAAGACATGATGAAGACGAATACAGAACAATCAGGGGAGTAAATTCCAGTAAGCGATAGCTAATCAGATAAACAAACCTCAACTAAAAGCAGCGAACACAAGAGAGGTGAATTGAGAGGAGGGATTTGGGATGTGAGAGGAGACAATCGGTGCATGCAGCTCTCACTTTCCTTTCCTTTTAGGCCTGAGCCGGGACGCAAGATGAGATTTGAGGGATCTTTTTCGGTTATGATAGTGGGAGGCTTGGAGTGATTCCGATAGGAATGCTTGAAGTGAAGAGGCGGTTCCTCGACACGGTTGTGGGAGAAATCCAAAATCAAAGGTGGAGGCAGGTAGATGAAGTGGCAGTTCCTCGACGTCAACAAACAAGAACTACAAACCCAAAAGCAATAGTTGATGAAGCAGCCGCACCGATTTGCAGAAATCACCTATCCCATAGATCGCCCCAAATCATTATGAGAAGATGGATCTGGGTTTGGAAAGAAGAAGTCGATAGTGGGGAGTGTCAATCGCAGATGGAGCAGCCGCAGACGAACCCAGAAGCAGAACAAAAAAGGGAGAACGGCGTACCCAAAACCCTACGTTCTCTTTCATTTCCCTGATTTTTTTTGTATTTTCGGTTAATTAAATTAATGACATGTCCAACTTGGAAAAGTCAAGAGTAAAAGTTGCCACGTCAGCATAATCCGTTAGTCCAGTCAGCATTCGTGATGTTTCCGTTAACGTTTGTGACGGAATGACTATATGAGTGTATTTTTCGAAATTTGGCTATATTTGTCATAACGCGAATAGTTATGGTTATGAAAATATATTTTGAGAATAAAGCAACATCGCCACGGAAAAAAAAAATACAAGTAGCTCCATTACAAATTGGACAACATACGGAGATCTTAATTTCCACTCCAGTTTATTGTGTAGACACAATACTAGCAGGTGCAAATTAGTTAAGGACCCTACAGTTGCGCCTGATCTCTCCGTTAGTCCCCGTGAGTGGGCTGATGTTCCCCATCCTGATCATCGCGTTGGCGAAGTCACGCACAAACGTATTGACGTTGGTGCTGTAAGTCCTCACCAGTGCGTCCTGTGACCCGCCGTTAAACAACTGCTGGTCGGAGTGGAGCAGCCCGCGCTGGCCGACCAGCCCGCTGAAGTAGGCCGTGTCGAACCGGTTCGGCGAGGAGTCGAGCGGCGCCAGGTTGTTGTCGCCTCCCGTGGCCGGGCAGCTGGCCCGCCTCGTGGTGGCGAAGTTGGCGTTGATGTTGGTCTCGTTGTAGATCCGGTTGCGGAACCCGGCGCACCTGGCCTGCCCGATGGTGTGGCCGCCGGAGAGCACGGTCATCTCCGCGGCGGTGAGGCCCTTGGCGGCGAAGGCGGCGATGAGGGCCGGCAGGTCGGAGAACGGGGAGGGGAGGTCGTTGTTCGCGTCGCTCTGGCTCGCCGTTCTTGCGTCTCTGCGGCCCAGCGGGACTTGCCATGAGGGCCCACCTAACTGTACAACACGTACAGCGTTCTCAGTTAGGGGCGAAATTTTTTTTTTTTCTTTTTTCTGAATGGTGAAAATTGGGTGGGAAAATTATATATATACCAAGGCGACACCGTCCCTGGCAGCAAGTGCGAGGATATCTGCACAAGAAACCGTGGCGTTGCAAGCCCTTTCCACCCGCGTTTTGATGGTGTCGATGACGTCGAAGCCTATAAGCGAGTTCTGGTTGGGCCGGGCATTCTTCTCGCCGGTAAAGCTGGCCGTGTCGTCGAGCAGAACGGAGCCATCACAACCCTGCCGTACACAAATCCAAAAACGTACCAAGACCCAAGTGAATGTTAGATGCTTTGTGTAAATAGGTATAACTTTCCAAATTTTTTTTTATCAAATATGTCAATTTATTATTTTTTTTTACATTAAACATAAGTTAGAAAAGTTATCAAACATTTTTTTATATTAAAATTTTCTTCAAAAAATCGTAACCATCGTGAAACCATGGTTCAGGCGACCTGTCTTCGACAAAATAAGAGGAGAAATATCAGTTTCGCACCTCCATTTATTTTCCAAAGTACTGTCGTTAAAGTATCGGACTATCCAAAATTAAACAAAAAAATATAAGTGAAATTATTAATGATATTTTAAACGTTTATGTAGCTCAAATCATTAGTTTGAAATGAAAAAAAAAATTAATAATAGAAAGGTATGTATATTGACAGCTTCTACTTGCGTTGACAAACATTCATAGTAAATACTATGAGGCTATTATACTTTTATAACCACAGTCACTAGCTAGCTTTCTTACTTACGTTGACAAAGCAATCATGGAAATGCATGCGGAGCATGGCGGCGCCGAGTCGGGGCTGTCTATTGACAGCTTCTCGCATAGCACCACGCACAAGGGCTTGAATGTTAGGGCACGAAGTTGCGTAGAAGTTGGCTGCCAGTTGAGCGGTGCCCGTCGACGCCAGCACCGACACCGTCACGAAGAGGGTGACCAACAGCTTCGTAGCAGAGTAAGAAGCCATTGATGATATGCTAGCTAGCTAGAATTCAGCTTCCGAAGAATGAATGTAGGTTTACGTGGGTGGAGGTCGGATGGAGATTATTACAAAGTTGTTGGGGTTTATATAGTGGGAGGAGGTAGCTAGACAGACATGCAGCTTGGGACTGATGATGATGATGATGAGCTGGCCAGGGTGACTTTTCCGCTTTTAGTTTTGGAAGTATATATTACTAATAATCTAGTGGGCTGGCTAAACGATACGAGGAAGTGTTCCAATTTCAAACTTGGCTGCTAAGCACTGGTTAAGGGACGCGTTTTCGAGCTCAGCCGGATCTGAGTTGAGTTGACATCCTTTATGTATATTAATTCTATAATTTAGTTTATTTTGTTGGTAGAAGTACGTACTCTTGAAAGTCGTATAATTTGGAAACCGGTGCGTCGGTATCTTTGGACAAAAAGTGAACTCGAGGGAAGGGAGTTGGGTATGCTGAACTCATGGTATGTATTTGCAGTTTGCTAGTTTCCACGTTTTCGATTATCTTGAGATGCACTTCCAAGTTTTGGGGGGTTTTTTTTTTATATAGATTTGGTCTGTTATTGGGTTTTCTGAAGTGGCAGTGGTTTTTCTATGATTTATTAGTTGTTTTATTTTTGTTGTGTGATTGGTTCATTCAAATTAGTATTGGTTCGTTTGAACGAATTGAAAGATTAATCGAGTAGAAAAAAGCAAAGAGGTGGTCAGAGAAGCAGACTGGTGGTCAGAGAAGGATAAGTGAGAGAGATGAAGGTAAGGGAACTTGGGAGGGAGAGGAAAATGTAATTAATATGCATATGTAAAATTCTAAAAGTTATGACTACGAAGATATAGTTTGCTTTCTGATATTTGTAATGCATCAAAATATTAGTCATTTTTATGTTATCGTTAATAATTTTGTAATTATTTCTTAGTTAAAATATTAAAATGTTGAAAAATTGACATTGATATGTCTCTTCCAATTCAAGATCATTTTTCTAAATCAATATTACTAACAAAATTGCTAACTGAAAGTTTACATTTTGCTAATTATTAGTAATTCAATAAATTTGACTAATAAAAATAAAAAGTTTTGGCTTCGTGTTTGCCCTTTATGTTTTTCAAAATATCATTTCATTAACTCTTAGTCATCTTAATGTATTCACATGATTCAATAGATGGATTGAAGTGTCTTAAAATCACCTTTATTGTTTAAGCTTAATGACGTGATTGGGCCCGTTGGAAATTCTTGTGGGATAATATCGGATGATTTAAGTGAATGGTCTTTAGTCAGTTGACTAAGTAAATCATAGTCATAAATAATCTTTTTTAAACTAATGGTGAAAACTTATAAGAACTAATGAGGGTTTATATTGTCATTTCGTTCTATATTAAAATTATGGATTTTGCTACGGTGACATGCATGTCACCGTGACATGGACTTTTCGGTCGACCTAATCCAACATACGGTCGATCGAATGGACTAATTCATGTATGTGGGGTTCCGAGACGCGGTCGACCTCTTACATAATACGGTCGACCGCTTTGGTGGTCTAACAGAATGAAAGGTCGACCCAAATATCTCATAGGCCGACCCTTGTGCACCTAACAGGTCGACCACATTATGAAGAGGTCGACCGTCTTCACACCGTATCTGTATTGGATATGGATTCCAACACCAGAAAGGTTCCACAATTGGACAAGGAAACGAATTGGGTCGACCCATTGACGTCCTAAATCTCTATAAATACGAATATAAGTCCCCTTCAACGCCTCCAAGTCCGAATTAGGTTTTTTTCCGATTAAGAGCCTTTGTGAAGAAGATCGTTCGCGGTTGCTGTTGTACGTGTTGGAAGTGGTCGACCAGGTCTAAGGTGCGGTCGACCTAATGTACCATTCGCCGTCTTCTTTTCTAATGCGTGATTTCCACCGGCTAATTTGATATATTGTTGGGTGCAGAATTCCATTCGGTCGACCGTGACGTCAACCAGGTCGACTTGACGAGACAATTCTGAGTATTTGAATTTAGGCCACAACACTTGGACTTCTGTACTTGCGAGGTAACCCAATTGGTCGACCTAATGGGTTTCAAGGTCGACCGTTCCTATTTTTTTGGTTATTCAACCTGAATGTCGACTTTGGCTTTGTTTGTATGACTATGTTGTGCTTGAAAGGGTCGACCGCGCCAGATATCTGGTCGACCTATCCTTTTTTCGGTTTAATTTTGAACTTACTTTTTGTTGTTAATTGTTATTTTCCTGCTGGATAGGTCGACCCAGGAATAACAGAGGTCGACCTTAATGGTTGTGGTAGTCACTATTTGTCTTCCAGGTCGACCTAATACTTTGTCAGGTCGACCACGTCTTTGTTTTTTGGTCAATTGTAGAAATTTGTAGTTGAATTATGATTTAAATTTTTCTTTAAATTGTTTAGACAATGACGCATGATGAGAAACTGCATCAAGATTTAGGTGAAATCATGAAATTGTTGAAAGCCACACAAGAGAAGCTGGTGGAGTGTCAAACACAAGTCAATGACTTTCAGAAGTCCATGCGTGATAGAGTGGAGCAATTATCAGTTTGACTGACAGATATGACTGGGATGATGCATGACGGGTTTGAGAGGCTAGAAGGTGCTATCAAAGATATAAGTGCAGAACGAATGGAGAATGGCGGAAGAAATGGTAAAGGAAAGAAATTTGAATTTGGTAAAGAGGAAGAAGACCATGATGACTCTGAAAATTGCTACCAGAGCATAGACGATTTATTGAAAGAGCACTTTTTAAAGGTATCCAAGTATAGTCATATGTGATTGAAGATATTAGTATTACTATCATTAGTGCTAATTTGTTTTGTTTATATGTTTGACAGAGTGAAACAACGAATGGCAGCAAGGGTTCCTCTCCTAAGTACAAGAGACCGCGATATGAAAGTGACTCCTACACCACTCCACAGAAGGATCAATTTGTAAGAAAAGGATTATTTAGTGATGATAGCGATGAAGATGAATCTAAGAGTCCTTTCGAAAAGCACGGGGTAAGTTTACGTTACATATTCATCTATAATGTGTGTTTGTGTTCATATGTTACTTTAATTTTAACTATGATTTGTAGGTCATGAAAGTGGAGGGTCTAGAAGGATTCACCAAAAATCTTCAAAATCCAGTTGAAGACTTGTATTATGTTGTTACTAAAGAGAAGGTTGGGGACAAGAATTGGGACAAGTAAGACGTTTTTTAGTACGTGTGGTCGACCGTTTAGGTCATGAGGTCGACCTCTTTTCCAATAAGGTCGATCGTGACTGTGAACAGGTCGACCTGTACGTTGCAAATCACAATTGACATTTCTGTTATTTTGATTTTTGCAGTTTGACCGTTGTGGACTTTTTTTTTCTGAAAACGTGCAACGACATTAGTTGAGTTCGGTCATTAGCGAGAATAGCTGGGTTTGCTCATCAGTAAGTACTATACTACTACGACTTTCGTATGAATTGTGCACTATTTATGTTACGATTTACGATGATTTTGTGTTTGATTGTTGGATGGTAGGTAGTGGATTTGTGTTCAAGGGCACTAACAATGTCTGAAAAACATGATGTGAAAGAGCCAAATGTGTGGTATTTGCCAAATATGTTTTCGGTAAGAGCCGTAATGTCAAATTATTTGTCATAACCTAGTTATTTATATTGTACCATGTCAATTCATCTCAACTAAAACATGGTGCAGAAAATGGTACGCGCTAACATGAAGACCAGACAAATTCATAACAAGTTGATGAATGATGACGTGGTCTTTATGCCGAATGTCAGTGCATGCCAGAAGGTTAGTCTAGTCAATGTCCCTATATCATTAAATTTCAAAAGTGCATTTGTTTGTATTCGCTGTTTATAACATATAGTGAGTGTTTCGTTGCTAGAAATTTATGCCAGTTATTGACGATGAAGCACGTCATTGGTTTCTGTATCTCGTCAATGTCCAGCAAAAAACTGCATTTTTGCTTGACAATCTACCTTCAACTAGTCAGGCGAATCGTAGGCGTAAATCAGCACTATGCAAGAAATTGGTAAGTGTTTCCTATAATTTTCTGACTGTTAAGCATCACGTATTATGCTAGAAACTTAAAATATTCGTTATTTGTGTGTAGTTGTCCAATTTGGATGATATTTTCAAACCGGAGCGCATGAGCAATGTAGGAGTACCAAATTTTGGAGATTTCAATTTTGATGAGCTACGAGTTCAACGGCAAAGGAATAGTACTGAGTGTGGTGTGCACGTCATGCAATGGATGCGCTATGGATCCAAGGATCTTGATAGAGTGGTGAATATATCGTCAAACAAATAACTTGTTTAATTTACACTTTTTTTAGTTGTAACAAAATCTTACATGGCATAAAGCAGATAGGAGAAGAACAAAAATTACCGGCTCGAAAGGAGATTCTATGGTATCTGGCTACACATTTTGAAAACCTTGCACGAGAAAATCTTTTCAAGCATAGTAGATGAATGCATGGAACGAGGCAAAGAGAGACAGAGTTCAAACAAAAAAGCAAAGAAATGAAGTCGTTAAGTTACAATGTTGCATTATTTGGACCATACATTGAATTTGTATTTGCGAGATCGTTTCATTTTGGATTTTGAATGTTTATCGTTTATTAGATTTGTTATACAATTATGGATGTGACTGAATTTACGATTTCAATCGTCTAGAACAAGTGGTCGACCACATACTCAAAGCGGGCATACCCAAAGGCAGAGCATAGGTTGACCTCGTGACGCTTAAGGTCGACCTATGATACCGTAGCAAAGTAAAAAACCATGTAGAATATGGATGGAATCTCGTCTGTTTGGCCTTAATAAAATACGGTCGACCATTCGTGTCAAGAGGTCGACCTGTTTCACATTTATAAACTATGGTCGACCATTTCAGTAAAGAGGTCGACCTGTTTCACATTTATAAATAACGGTCGACCATTTGTGTAAAGAGGTCGACCTGTTTCACATTTACCCAAGACGGTCGACCATTTGTGCAAAGAGGTCGACCGTAATGAATCATGTCCTTATACAATTAGGATTTTGTGTACTTGTCCTTGTCGAATTATGATTTTATATATCTTTCACCAATTGGATAAGAAATTCGTCTACATTATCTATAAATAGATGGGAGTCTTAATACTTTAATCGTACTTCGATTTATGCAATTTGTTGGAGTGAAGTTGTAATCTCATCGCTCTTATTGTGATCGAGTGTTGGTGGCGGTTTATTTTTATTCCGGTACACCGTAACAATAAGTGGTCGACCTCATTGCTAAGGTATGTCTCGTATTGGCTTGTTAATGGTTGTATGTGGTTAAATTTTTCCCACCATCCGGTCGACCACCTCCACCATCCGGTCGACCGTACTTTTGTAATTATATGATTAGGTCGACCTTTCAGTAAATTCAGGTCGACCGCATGTTTGTTTTTTAGTAATAAGGTCGACCGTACAGTTCATTCAGGTCGACCTGACGAGAGCTAATTGTGTATGTTTTTGACATTAAGTTCGTATTCCGATCGTTGCAGGATGGATAACAGAGATGATACAGATGATAGAGATGATGATGAGGTTAACTTCGATGAGGAACCTAAGGATGCTCGAGAAGGAGCTATGGATGATTCAGATGATACAGATAATACGGATGATGAAGTGGTTGGGGATGATAATGAAACCGAGGGTGCTGAAGAAGAATTTATGGATGATGAAGAAGCTACTGAATATGAACAACAAATTCCTTCCATGGAGTTCCAAACATTAGAAGATGCAGAGAAATTTTACGATTCCTATGCTAAAGCGAAAGGATTTAGCGTTCGACGTAGATATCTTCAGAGGAGTCGTCGAGGAGTAGCAATTGGGAGGACAATGGTATGTTCGAGAGAGGGGACTAGAGATAAGATGCATATAGATAAAGAAGGTCGGACTCGACAACATCGTAAGATGACAAGACATTCTTGCAAGGCATCGTATACTGTACGCTTTGATCGGGATAAGAAAACGTGGGTTGTTTCTAAGTTTGAGAGGAAGCACTCACATCGTTGCTGCAATGAAGAAGAAACTCAATTCCTTCGGTCTCATCGAAATATGAGTGAAGGAGACAAGGCTCTGGCGATAGGGATGCAACAGTCAGGAATAAAACAACGCAACATTGTTCAGTTCATGAAGAATAAAGTTGGAGGATATGAGAATCTGGGGTACACTCCAAAGGATTTGGACAATGCTGTTCAGCAATCCCGAATAGTTGACGACGATCTAATAGGAGATGTTAACCGAACATTGGGTTACTTGCAAAGTAAACATACCTCTGATGCGGGCAGCTTCTTCAAGTACAAAACCAACGATGAAGGTGAATTAGGCAATCTCTTCTGGTCGGACTCCACATCTAGAGCAGATTACCATTGTTTTGGGATGTCTTGGCGTTCGATGCATGCTACAAGCGCAACAAGTACAATCGACCATTTGTTATGATGGTTGGTGTAAATCACCACCAGCGTAACATCATATATGGTTTTGCCCAGTTGGATAACGAGACAATCCCCAACTATGTTTGGTTGTTGAATACTTTTCTGGAGTGTATGAACTCTAAGATGCACACTTCAGTGATCACAGATGGAGACAAGTCTATGCGTGGTGCCATTGCTACTGTTCTGGTTGGAGTGCCTCACCGTCTTTGTATTTGGCATATTGAGACAAATGCGCAACGACCGTTCATAATAAGGAGTTCGTTAGCGCATTCACTTACTTGGCGAAAGCACGAATATCGATTGAGGAGTTTGAGAGGCGTTGGGAGCATTTGATTAGTCAGCATGGTTTGTCTGCAAATAAGTGGTTGCAGGATTTGTACGCTGACAAATTACTGTGGGCAGAGGCATACTTGAAGGATATTTATTTCGGTGGACTCTAATCAACCTCGCGATGTGAGTCATGTAACCATTGGATAAATGGGTATGTGGGAACTCAATACAGCTTGCAAGGTTTTGTTCAGGGCATTGATGAAGCACTGGAGGGGATGCGTTTCACGGAGGTGCAGGATGATTATAATTCTAGGCACACGAGGTTGGTCTGCAAGCATGCCCTTCGCACTTGGGAAATGCAAGGTGAAAGTATCTACACTCATCGTACATTTGCTATCTTCAAGTCTGAACTAGAGAATGAAGCTTCTTATGTATTAGCGGAGAGAAGAACTGAATCAGATGGGACAGAGACATTCATACTGAAGAACTACATGAACCCAGATCGGATAAGGCGGTTAACATTTACTACGTCCAATCAAGATCTAAAATGCGAGTGTGCATTATTTGAATCTAAGGGGTTTCCAAGCAGACACATGCTTACAGTAATAAAAATTGGGAATCTGCTTTTATGTGACATCACGTGTGGTAGTGAATCTGCTTTTAATCATGTCTCTAATACATTGGACGACCTTACTCAATGGGCAATTGAGTTCGCGAGGGAGAGAATGGACAACACCACACCGGCAAACCCTCCAGCACCCCTTCGAATTGTGAAAGATCCAAAAATTGGGAAGACCAAGGGGACATTCAAGTCAGCACGAACTGCATAGGGAAAAAGTTTAAGAAAGTGTTCGAAATGTGGAAAATATGGTCATTTTCGCCCTAAGTGCCCGAAACAAAGTCCAAAAAAGGATCTTAAATTTCTTCTATTGTTTTTTAGGAGTTTATTTATTTTTTAATAACTGTGATTGCATTGTATTTTCTTCGAATTATCTTAATAATTTATGAGTTAATTGATTGTTGGTTGAAATAAACAATAGCAATAAACGGTCGACCTCATACAAATTTCGGTCGACCTGACAATGCACGGTCGACCGAACATGTTAGTGCGGTCGACCGCGTATTTAATTCGGCCGACCAAACCGGTTTGTTTGCAACATCCACCCAAACCTCCCCCAATCCTCTATTTAAGAAACCCTCCCCCACTCATTCTACACCACAATCAGAACCCTATCCCACCACATCCACTCATTCTTCCTCTCATTTCCCTTCTTCATCTTCTTCTCCAATTTCCAAAAACTTCATTTTCCAAAAACTTCATCTTCTTCATCTTCCATTTCATTCTCATCACTTAGAAGAAGAACAAGGTATAACTTTCAGTCCTCTTTTTCATTTGATTCAATTCTTGTCTTCTTCTTCGGTAGATTAGATTGTTTTCAAAAAATCTAAAGATGGAAAAGAGGGATTCTTCCTTCTGTTTGCCAGAAGCGGTCGACCTTTTCATATTCGTGGTCGACCGCATCTGGCTTTCATTCGATTTTTTCGTTTGATGTATAGACTATGGTCGACCTATGATGATATTGAGGTCGACCTGTGAAGTTTTGCAACGATTTATGGCATTATTATTTAGATCTATAGCTTGAAATGAGGGATTTTCCCTTCTGTTCGCCAGAAGCGGTCGACCTTTTCATATTCGTGGTCGACCGCATCAGGCTTTCATTCGATTTTTTCATTTGGTGTATAGACTGAGGTCGACCTATGATGATATTGAGGTCGACCTGTGAAGTTTTGCAACGATTTATGGCCTTATTATTTAGATCTATAGCTTGAAAAGAGGGATTTTCCCTTCTGTTCGCCAGAAGCGGTCGACCTTTTCATATTCGTGGTCGACCGCATCTGGCTTTCATTCGATTTTTTCTTTTGGTGTATAGACTGAGGTCAACCTATGATGATATTGAGGTCGACCTGTGAAGTTTTGCAACGATTTATGGCCTTATTATTTTGACCTATAGCTTGAAAAGAGGGATTTTCCCTTCTGTTCGCCAGAAGCGGTCGACCTTTTCATATTCGTGGTCGACCGCATTTGGCTTTCATTCGATTTTTTCTTTTGGTGTATAGACTGAGGTCGACCTATGATGATATTGAGGTCGACCTGTGAAGTTTTGCAACGATTTATGGCCTTATTATTTTGATCTGTAGCTTGAAAAGAGGGATTTTCCCTTCTATTCGCCAGAAGCGGTCGACCTTTTCATATTCGTGGTCGACCGCATCTGGCTTTCATTAGATTTTTTCTTTTGGTGTATAGACTGAGGTCGACCTGTGATGATATTGAGGTCGACCTATGAAGTCAAAAGTTCGAGTTGTGCCATTGTATTTGAATTATTTGTGCGAAACTAACATTGGTCGACCTCTTCTAATTATGAGGTCGACCGGATCTGTTTTGCACTCAATTGGTACGAGCATTTGGGCCATTTCGGGCTCGTTTCAATTTAGCCGAGGTCGACCTATGATGCTTTTGAGGTCGACCTATGAAGGCAAAAGTTCGAGTTGTGCCATTGTCTTTGAATTATTTGTGCGAAACTAACATTGGTCGACCTCTTCTAATTATGAGGTCGACCGGATCTGTTTTGCACTCAATTGGTACGAGCATTTGGGCCATTTCGGGCTCGTTTCAATTTAGCCGAGGTCGACCTATGATGCTTCTGAGGTCGACCTATGAAGGCAAAAGTTCGAGTTATTTGTGCTAAACTTGTTGAGGTAGACCTGTGATGATATTGAGGTCGACCTCGGGCCATTTAAATCGATTGAAAGCCAAATGTTCATGGGGAGTGCAGTGCAGGACATTAGGCCACCTTGTAATGCACTCGAAGACACAAACATCTGCTGCCTTCACTGAGTTCTCCTTTGCTTGTCGGTGACCGGCATAGGGTTGCAAAGGATAACTCGGTGAAGGCAGCAGACGTTTGTGTCTTCGAGTGCATTCCAAGGTGGTCTAATGTCCTGAACTGCACTCCTGATGAAAGTCACATCTGGTTTTCAATCGATTTAAATTTTCCGAGGTCGACCTATGCTTCTTCTGAGGTCGACCTATGAAAGCAATTTTGTACTTGAATTGTTACGGGTTTATGTCGACCCATTCTCGTTTTAACTTAACTGAGGTCGACCTATGCTTCTTCTGAGGTCAACCCATTCTCGTTTTAAACTAACTGAGATCGACCTATGATTCTTTTGAGGTCGACCCATTCTCGTTTTAAATTAACTGAGGTCGACCGCTTTATGGAGTGGTCGACCGCGTATTGTTCATTTCGAAAATGTGACTAACGTGTATTCTTGCTTGTTTGATCGCAGGATGTTTGCCGGCAAAAAGAAAAGAAAGGCACAAAAAGCTGCTGCCTCAAGTTCGGAATGGGAAGAGTTCAATCCCAATCTGTTCCAGACCAAGGTGCAAAGTGAGAACTATGAAGAGAAGAGAATGCACAACCGCAGGGTGGCTCCGGGAAGGCCATTGACGACGGATGCGTATTCTCATTTCGAGAATTACGGGTTTCTGGGACCCTTCATCGAGCAGGAGTGGCTGAAGGTGATATCAATCAATGTACCATACTACCCAAAACTGGTACAATACTTCTACAACAACATCGTCTACGAGCGCAATGCTAATGGATCCATTCACGCATTCAAATCCCATGTGAATGGGGTGGCGATGCGCATCAGCAAGAATGTGTTGGCGCTAGTACTTGAGGCTCCAAACGAGGGGAAGAGAATCAATTCTTACGGTGCTTGGAATGAAACGCATTTCACGAGAGCCAAGCAAATCCAGACGGTATGTGGTCTTGGTGAAGAGGAAGATGCTCAGGGGCGCAATAGGCCAACGAGTAACCACCTGACAGTTCAAGCCAGAGTTCTTCACCACATGCTTTCCTACAACATTCTGCCAAAGGGTGGACATCGGGAGACAGTCACCTACTTCGACATGGAGCTCCTCACCAACCTACTGTTAAACGAGAAGGTGAACTTGCCATACTTGATCTTTAACCACATGCTTACTGCTGCAGAGAGTTCAAACAGGAATCTTCCCTATGGGATGATCCTCACTGTGATATTTGAGCATTTTAATGTGAATTTAAGTGAAGAGGTGGGGTTAAGAATCTCAAGGCAGGAGTTCTATACTGTTTCATCTCTGAAAAAGATGGGATTTGAGCTGCGCAATGGTGAGTATGTCAGAGTAAACAATGCTCGTGGTGATGATGATGATGAGGATGATGAGGGTGATGAAGGAGCTCGAGACGAGCCAATGGCGGAGGCACAGAGTTCAACTCTACCGATCACCTTACAGCGTGTGTGGGAGCGCATGGATGGCATGTACGAGTACATGGGCCAGATGTCCACCCAGATGACTGGCATGCACGACTACATGGGGCAAATGACCGCCCAGACGAGCACAATGCAGGTGACCGTGAATGAGATGCGAGATGAGTGGCGATCTTTCAGCGGAAGATACATGCATCCCACCACATCCGACCACCATCATGCTAGCACCACCAATGAAGAAAATGTGGATGAGAGAGAGGGGGGAGATGAGTAGGAGAAATGAGATTTTATATTGTGTGTTTTAGTGGTCAAAACGATTGTTGATTGTTATTCTGTTGTTTTTTTAGTTTTATTTTTATGTGTGAACAATTATGATTTCTGTTTTATTTTTAGTTGTTATGCTATGAATTGATGAGTCATTGTTATAATTATTTATGACTAATTATCATGGTTTGAAACATAATTTATATGATTAAAAGAACCACACAAATCGACATACATAAGCAAAAAAGACACGGGGCATAGGGTGACTTTCTTGTATTCGGTCGACCTCGTACCGGATTAGGTCGACCGCGAAACCAACACTTGATCTTGATTTTACGTCAAATAATTGGACACTTTGATAGAACACTTATCTTCTATCTGGTCGACCTCTTTCCTTATCCGGTCGACCATTTTGTTAATGATTGCCATCAAGTGGTCGACCTATATACCTTAGGTGGTCGACCATGTTGTTTCTGACGCCAATGAAATGGCCGACCCAGGTTTTATTCTGGTCGACCAAAAATAACAACTTAAACTAAGTGCGGTCGACCAGGTGGTCGTTGAGGTCGACCGCAATGCTTTCTCGTGCTGCCCAAATTAGTCAATTCGGTCGACCGCCTTCAGCAATAGGTCGACCGAAAAGTGCATGTCACCGTGACATGCATGTCATAGTAGGCATACCCTAAAATTTTAATCTTAAGAAAAAGTGGATCGCAGTTTGTGGTTGGCCCTTTTTTGGCTGGCTAGCGCTGCATAATCTGCCGGAATTGCAATGTGTGAGGAACATATTCCCTGATCGACATTGCGCCCTATTCCGCCATTCTTTATTCGGAGCAGATCCGGTTAATAAACTTCTGGTCAATAATTATGGATAACCCAATCACCATTTCTCACATAATGCCTCTTTTCTCTCTTGAAAAGTCTTTAATTTTTCTCCTCTTAATAATTAACGGATGATTTCTTACTCGTTTTAAGTCAAATTTTTTTTTTGCACGGCTAGATCAGATAAATTATGCTTTTCAAAATGATATCCACTTTGGTATATTTTTGGAACAAAAAAAATTGAGTCAACTTTTACCTGTATATACCATATGATATTAACTGGTATTGAAATAAGAGAATACCTATGGTTGAAAAACGTACCATGGTGGTATGAACAAACCAAGACTATAGGATTGTTGAATACATGATAGTAGAAGTATATTAATTGTCATTTATGACTTTTATCATTGTGTACCACAAGATACCACCCCGTACCATGGTGGTATTGTGTGGTATTTTTTTGTCATGTATTTTGTTCACCCAGAAATTTGTAGATTCAATAGATCATGATGAACTCGTTCCTTCTGTACAAAAATTTTAAAAAACGAATTAAAAACGAAGAGGCAAGAAATTTTTTTTCCTAAAAAAATATTGAAAATGGATATCGTTTTGTAGAGCACAACGAACTCGTTCCGTCTGTGCAAGAAAAATTGAAATTCGAGTTAAAACGAAGAAGATATGAGCCGATTAAGAAAACAAGATAAAATAAAATGACCTTAATTCTCTATCCTTAGATCAGAATTTACTGAATGAAGTGTTTAGATTTAGTTACTAATAAGTGCATAACTCATGGTTATGCACTGTATCTTGAGCCTCTTTATCTCGTCCGCTATTCCCCCATTCTATGTGACAAGCGAGAGATTTACACCCTATTCTGTTGACGAGAGAGAGAGAGTTTGCAATGCAAGTTCTCTTGATTTGTATTTTGTAATGTTAGTATTGTTGCATTTAATATGATAGTCTGATTTGTCTACTTTGTTATGTAGTTTGTATGCTTTGTATTATTAATATGTATACTTTTATGATATGGTTGATATATTTTGTGTTATTTTTGTTTTAATCCAAGTTCTGTTGGTTTATATTGTAAGTAGTGGTATTTTATATTGCTATTATGTTGTGCATACAATGTCATGCATACAATGTCAGTATAATTTGTATCATTGATTTGTAATGTAAGTTCTATCCGTTTATAATGTAAAGTAGTGTTTTTTCTATTGTTAGTATACTTTGTAGACAATGTTTGTTTGATTTGTATCCTTTGACTTTTATAATGCGATTTGCATACTTTATTAATATTAATTTATAAAAGAAATTATAAATTGTAAATTTTGATATACTTTTATGATATGATTGATATAATTTATATCTCTCTGTTGTACTTTGTATATTTTGACATGATACATTGTAACTTTGGTTTGGTTAAATATAAAAGAAACTATAAAATAGTATATGAAATGAGGTATAAGGAAATGATAAAATTTAATAAACTTTTAATAATGTCTCTTGTGATTCCCTCAATTGGACCATTAGATTTATAAATTTATATCTAAGAGTTAAGAGGAATTTAGGCATTTAATTCATCCTCCATAGCATAGTAAGTAAAATATGATATGGGTAAGTTATGCATGAAATATATAAGAATATTATATTTAATCTCTAAACTAATGGTATGCCTACTAGCATGTCAATATTAATAAAATGTATGAAATTAATTGATTCAAAAATAAGTAAATGTATAAGTTATATTCAAATTATCAATTTAGTTTATTAAATACGAATATTAACAGTGTTATACGATTTTATAAGTGTTTAATATGAGATTCATCAAATGAATAGAAAAATGTAACAATTTGACAGTAATACGAAAAAGAAATCTCTAAACCCTAAATCTCTAAGCTCTAAATTCTTCAAATTAAAGTAAATCTTCAATGGTTTTTGTGCAAATTCATGTGCGTTATTGTTCGTCACATCATAAGTGATGATTGACATCATTTTGACAAAAATCCATGTTTAAAATGACGATTATGAAACGAGTGCACTGAATGCATTCAAAAAGGTGAGTGTACTGAAAACAACATCCTATATATGTATATTAGTATATATACATATTAAACGGAGTATTCTCTAACAATACCTGTCATATGCTAGGATATTTGAACTGCTATAATATCATGGGACTTTGGCCAAAAATATCCGCTTAGTGATGGTATCCTCTCTCGAATTGGTTGTTATGTCTGACTTCTGCATTGGTGGCTTTCATGGATCCACGAGTCTCCTACTCTGTTAGTTTGACGTTCCAACAATAATATATCATATCACTTATTTGATGCTTTTTCTTACAAAGTAGGAAAGTCAATTATTTCTCGTCATAAAATTCAAAACACAATTTATTAAGTACTATTCTTTTTCCATACATTACGGTTCAACTTGGGAGATCATCCATACGTAAAAACAAAAATCAACATCAACAATTGCTGCATCTATTGTCATAATTCAGTTAATAAGTGTAGCACCGCAATTCAATGATTTGCAGCTAATACGAATACGAAAGATACCTTAATTTAATTAACATAAAAATAGTTTATAATTCAAAATTTATTGGTTGACATTATCTAGCTAGGATTCATGATCCTGATCCCTGAAACTTCCTAAGCACAAGTTGATGAGAGACTTGTTCCAGTCTTGAGTGTGTTTTATGTTATCCAGACAAGAGTTTTAATTTAATTTTATATTTTGAAACACACTGGTCAGATTCAACCACGACGGTGTTGCCTCCTTTTATTTATTCACTTTGGTTATTCTTTGAATGATTCAAAGTGACATTCGCTCAAATTTTCGTCGATTCCTCCTCCATTTCCGCACTGTTTTCTAGCTTAACACTACGGCCTACAGCAGATCCCGTTGACATTTAGATGTTCTTGGGGATAACTTGAGGATGAGAAACGAAGAAAAGGAGAAGATACTCTCTATATATGGAGTTTTGAAATTTCAACCTTATTAACCCGGACATGAATCATGATTAACGAGATCATCTTCTTCAAGTCAACCATACTTAATTAATATGATTGATCCGGTAACGGGTATGCAACTCAGTCGTTAATGGTTACACTAATTCTTTGATGTATTGTAAGTGGGATGTGATTAGATGCTAACCCTTATAGGGGTTAGCACCGTGATAACTAGCAAAAATCACTACGAATTATTATAAAATCAATACAACATCTAAGCTAAATCACTACTAATTCAAACTTGTAGTAGTTTTTCCCTTGGTTAGGACGGTGCTAACTATTGTACAATTAGCACCGTAGCCGTTCCCATTGTAAGTGCATACAGTCCTTTGATAACAAGTTACCCATTAAATCATTATTTAAGTTTGGGTAATGTCTTTTTTTTTATCCAAACTTTTTTTGGCTTCTCTTTTATTAGCCAAATCTATCGATATACTAAGAATTAACCATATGTTAACTTTCAGTTAGCAATTTTGTTAGTAATATTTTATTTGCCAACATGATATTGACTTGGAAGAGACAAATGAAAGTCAACATTCCAAAATTTGAGTATTTTAACAAAGAAAAGAGTTACAAAGTTATTAACGATAACCTAAAAATTGCTAATATTTTGATGCATTACGAAAGATTTGGCTAATTAATAGCATTTTAATAGGTTTGGATTATATAAAACAATCTGAAAAGATTTGGATAAAAAATAGACATTACCTTTTAAATTTTAACAAAGGTCAAACACAACCATTTAATGTATGCTTTATGCAAACATGATCACAAGTTGCAATCCTCTTTTTTTTTTGTCAAAAGATATCATGTATTGATCAAAAAGATAGACAGTTACACCCTGGAAACCAGCCAGGACGGGAAAACAAAGAAGCGACTCATAGTCGGATACAAAGAAAGGGCTTTCCTAGCTACCAAATGAGCTACCCTATTGTTCTCCCGACCTACAAAACGCACACTAAAACCAGATTGGGTAAGAAAATAATGACCAATCTCCTCCAAAACAGCACCCAACCGACTATCTCTCGTGTTGGCTTGATTTATTTTATCAATAATCACCATCGCATCACCCTCAAACCGGACCTCCGACAAGCCTTGCTCCATACACCAAACAATCGCTTCCCTAAGCACAAGTAATTCCACCATCCCCGGGTCATCCATTTGAGAAAACTGAACCCCTCTAGCCAGAAGGAGTGTCCGCGCTGAGTCAAATAGAACAATCCCACCAGCCGAATGTGACCCACCCTTAGTAGCCCCATCCCACATGCAAACCAAATGGGAATCACCCACATGCGCTGTTGGTTGCATCAACGGGATAGGCACCCTCGAAGCCTGATCCGAAGATAGACTCACCCATTCCTCATACTGTTGGTGAAACTGTCGCATAAGCGCCGAGATCCCAAATTGTTTGCCCTCAAAGACAACCCAATTTCGAGAACGCCAGATCCTCCAAAGGACGGCAACAACAGCCAAAACCACCGACGGCTGACGAATCAGTCCCAACAAACGATTGAGAAACAAAGGAAAAGTGTGCGGAGGCAAACCCTCCCCCAGGCATTCCAGCCCTGAGTAGTCCCAGAGGGCCCGCGCAACCGGACAGTACAGGAAAAGGTGTTCCATCGTCTCCGGGACATCCCAACAAACTGGACACCGAGAGAGAACCTAAACCTTCTTCTCAATAAGCGCCTCCATAGTTGGTAGAGCCCGATTAAGGATTTGCCACACAAAAACCTTCAACTTCGGAGGGATCTTCGCCTCCCACACTCTTATCCAACTCGGTTTACCCATCCAGCTAACCGAGGCTCGCCACCCACCCCTCCTCCTGTCCAAATCAACAGCCAAATGGTAAGCCGACTTCACCGAGAAGACTCCGTCAGCCGTAAAATGCCAGATAAGCTTATCAGACATATCCTATCTAGGAAGAGGAATAGCCTTGATAGCCCTACAGGTAGGCGGGTCAAACCACTGACGGAGCCTCTCATCAGACCACCTCCCCTCCCCCTGACAAATAATCTCGGCCACCAAAGGATCACCCCCCTCAGGCAAAATCCGCGGATTATAGCATATGGGGGGATCAAGTTGGAACCTAGGAATCCAGTTGGAATGAAGGAGGGAAATCAATTGGCCATTACCAACCTGCCATCGTAATCCCCTCTCCAATAACTGACGCCCATGAAGGATACTCTGCCACCCTCAAGAGGGACGAGACCTAGCAGTCGCGCTCAGGAAGGACCCTTGAGGGAAGTATTTGCCTTTATAAATCTGGGAAGAAGCGATTGAGGTTCATTAAGGATACACCAACCTATCTTAGCCAGAAGAGCTTGATTGAAGTGTTCAAACGGGCGAAATCCCATCCCTCCCTCGTGCTTACTCCTGCACATGTTTCGCCAGGACACCCATCTAATCTTATGGCTGCTCTCCTCAGCACCCCACCAAAAACGGGCCACATGTCTATCAAGAAGCCGACAAAGAGTTAGGGGAAGACGAAAACAAGACATAACATGTAGGGGCAGGGCCAACGCTATGGATTTTATCAAAGTTTCCTTCGCAGCCCACGATAATGTCCTTTGTTTCCAGCCCTGCAGTCTGTCTAAAAGTTTATCCTCCAAATATCTGAACGTATCCATTTTGGATCAAGCGACCAGCGAGGGAAGCCCCAGATATTTGTCATGGACCCCCACAGCACCAACCCCCAGGATAGTGGCCAAGAAATCCTGATCAGGCGTGGAAATATTCTTGGTAAAACACACCGCCGATTTCGCTAAATTAACTCGTTGGCCACTCAATTCCTCATACTCATTCAGCACCTCAATTAAATTCTCACACTCTTGAAGAGACCCTCGCAAGAATAAGTAAGAATCATCAGCGAAGAACAGGTGCGAGACTCGTGGGGCCCGGGTAGCTACTTTCACCCCCTCTAATTTTTTCTCCGTGATCTCCTTTCGAAGAAGGGCCGCAAAACCCTCTGTGCAGAGCACAAATAAGAGAGGAGAGAGCGGGTCCCCCTGGAGAAGGCCCCTAGAGGCAGTAAAATAACCAGAGGGCGTACCATTCATCAGCACCGAAAAAGAGGAGGAGCGAAGTCATTCGTGAATCCATCCCTTCCAGACTAGATTAAAGCCCATCTTATCCAATACTGCAAGCAGGAAGGGCCATTCGACTCTATCATAGGCCTTTTCCATGTAAACCTTCAGAGCCATGTACTCTTTCTTTCCTTGCTTTTTGATCTTCAGATAGTGCATTAACTAATGTCATATAAGGATGTTATCAATAATCTGCCGGTCTCTGATAAACCCATTTTGCCCCTCCGAAACAATATGAGGGAGCAAGCTAGCCAACCGCTCGGCCATGATTTTGGTAATCACCTTGTAAACAAACTGACAGAGACTAATCAGACGCAATTGCCTAATTGTTTCCACCGAGTCCACTTTAGGGATCAAAGAGAGCCAGGTATGGTTAAAACTCCGCAGCATCCGACTCGAAGTGAAGAAGGAGATTACTGCGTCAACCACCGAAGTGCCCACAATATCCCAGAAAGCTTTAAAAAACTTTCCAGTGAAACCATCCGACCCTGGAGCCTGCTTCGATCCCATTGAGAAAACCGTATTCCGAACCTCCCTCGGTAAAACCTCCGCCGTCAAATGCGCATTCATTTGCGGAGTAATGCTATGGGCAATCGGCAGATTCGACACCCTCTCAGCCATATTAGGAACCTGAGATTCCGAAGTGAACAGGGTCTGGTAAAAATTGGTGGCAATAGTAGCCTTCCCGGATTTCTCAGTTACCCATTCACCCTCCTCATTTCGAAGTCCGGTAACAAAGTTCCTCTTCCGCTGAGCCCTCGTGACCGTATAAAAATAGGCCGAATTCTGGTCTCCTTTTTTTAACCATTTAACCCTTGATTTCTGCTGCCAGAAAACTTCCTCAGCTTCCCATTGGCGGGAGAGCTTCGTTTCCAGGACCCTGACCTCATCCCAATCCACCGGATGGATCGAATTTATCCTATCAACCTCAGCCTGGAGTGTCTTAATATTGCGCAGAGAATTGGTTGTACCCGCCCTGCTCCAATCATAAAGCAGGTGACAGAGTTTCTTTAGGCGCTCCCAAAGTCGAAACATAGGGGGACCCTGGATCTCCTCCTGTCAGACATACTGGACCATAGCCCTCACTTCAGGGTTATCCGCCCATCGGGCATCAAAACTTGCAATCCTCAAGAAGAAGAAAAATAAAACTTGTTGATGGGAATCACTCCCGTGCGCATGCTGCCAACAAAAGCTTAACGTGGGAAGGTGTGTTCAAAAAGGCAGAGCCAGAATTTGAAGTTCGGGGAGTCTAAATTTATTTTGCTTTATTGGAAAAAAATAAAGGGCAAATACCACTACAACACCCGAACTATCGAAAAAGTGTCACTTGTGTCTTAATGTTTCTAATATTCCATGATATATTGAACTATGATACTTTGTGCCATTTGTATCATGCCAGTTTTGTTGACTGTTAGATATAACGGTTGACCTGACGGTTTAGAAAACGACGTCAGATTGCGAGCCAACGTTGTAGCAACATGGCATTAATGCCACATCATTTTGTAAAACAAAATTAATGAAAAAAATAAAAAGTTAAAAGCCATCTTCTTCACCCATCACGAGTTCTTCTTGCCCCCTCCTCCGCCGCCAACGATTTAATTGCCACCACCCCCGTCGATCCATTCCCCACCACCACCACCTGTGCTAGTTCTCTCCACTACCTTGGCCCCAATTATACGCCAACTCAACTCAACTCCACAGCACAGAAGAAACAACAACAAAAAAAACAACATTCCTATGGCTACGGACACATCATCATCCTCTCCCCAATCTTCATCGGCGAGAACCAGCCCCAGAAGAATGAAGAGCAACCAATGCATCCGCAAGATATGAGCCACCGCATCGGTCAAGACGCACTGCCTCTCTCGGATTTCCCTCCTCGAGCTTTTGTGGGAATTGAAGCGGTCTTCCGCCTCATGATGATCTCCGCTCTATCTCCAATTAGGGATTTGGAGTTTTAGTGATTAAATTGGAAATTGATCTGAAGAGTTCCCACTTCCCACTCGTTCCCAGTTCTTTTTTTGTAGAGGGAAATTGATTTGGAGTCTAAGCTCATACCACCTCCATCGTCGCCATTTTGTAGAGGGTTCATGCTTCAAGGCAGGGAAAGACAAGGGTTGCTTTGATTGGGATACGGAGAAGGAAACCACAAAAATCACTAGCACCGGTGGAAGTCGGAGAAGCGACAGAAGAAGAATTTTGATGTTGGGTTGATGCTTCAAGGAGTGATGGTTGAAGAATGGTCGATTGTGGAGGAAGGGTGGGTGATCGGCGGGGATGCACCCGCTGCTGAGACGCGAGATGTAGCCGGAAGTGATGTTGTCGTACAAGACGACCCTCATCCAAGTCCACGCCTGGCTGGAGGGAGCTGGGGATCCTCATCTATCTCGTACCAATCATCAAACTCCGCTGAAACCATCCTCGATGCAACGCCCAGGGGATCTCTTCATTGTAAGATCCTCTAACTCTTCCTCCCCTACATCTGGCTCTGAATGATGTGCAATCCGACGAGCGGGCTTCTTCTCCATATTCTTCTTTGCCACCTTCATTCGTGTTGATGCATCAACCTTCCTACTATCGAATCTGGATAACTCATTCCCACCCGTATCCATATCTAATTATCTACAAATTTACAAAATATCATACTTAGAATGTTAGAAGGATTTCTATTAATGAGGAAAACGATATGTTAACAATTTAACCATTACTCAATGTATAAGATGTGCTTGAAATTTGAGAGTGCTAGCTGTTAAAATATGTTGGTCTTTACTTTCAAACTTCGAATTTATTAAACAGATTTGAACAAAAAAAAATTTAATGGATTATTCCTTGTTTTGAGTATCGTTATGTCATTTGAACTCTTCACCTTAATCGCTACGAATTCTCTTGAAGTAAGTTTGCTCAAGTTGTGTCTTAACAAAGATTAGAAAAGCAAGTCTCTTTTGATATGGTCTCGGACTTGTCTTTCATTTACAATATCCAATTTACCCTGCTGTAATAATCTGCAATTTTGAGAAAATAATCAAATATACGTTAAGTGATTAGCCAAAGTTTATGTCTGAAGGAAACGAGGATTTCCTTTGAAGACGGAAAAAAACGCAATGTTGGAAAAAAAAAAAAGTTGTGCTCGAATAATCTTACATTTCATATAACTGAAATTTGGTGGGTACAGATACACGTTCATCATAATTATGCATGTGTTCACATATGGTCTTAAAAATCACGAGAACCTCCACTTCTTCTTACTCCTCAGCGTAGAGATCTCCAAAATTCCAACTAGATCTCAAATTATTGAAAAACAGAAACTACTAATTACCACCCCTTCACTCATAAAACACGTAGGATATTATTACTAATAACCAAGTCTCCCATGCAGTAGTGGATATTAATCCTTAATCATGCGTCTTGGATTAATTAGTTAATTAATTAATCCTCCTGCAGTTCCTCCTGACCTCTCCATTAGTCCCAGTCAGCGGGCTGATGTTCCCCATCCTGACCATAGCCGCCGCGAAATCACCGAGGAAAGAAGCGGCGTTGTTGCTGTACCCTCTGACGGCGGCGTCCTGGGATCCGCCGTTGAAGAGCTCCTGGTCGGAGTGGAAGAGGCCGCGGCGGGCCACCAGGCCCCTGTAGTAGTCGTTGTCGAAGCGGGTCGGGGTGGTGTCCATGGGGGCGAGGTTGGCGTCGCCGCCGGTGGCCGGGCAGTTGGCCCTCCGGGTGGTGGCGAAGGCGGCGTCGATGTTGGTGTCGTTGTAGATGCGGCCGCGGAAGGTGGTGCACCTCGCCTGCCCGATGGTGTGGGCCCCGGAGAGCGCGGTCAGGTCCCGCGCGCTCAGCCCTTTGTTGGAGAACATGGTCACCAGCGTCGCCAGGCTGGACGTCGGCGCCGGTATCTGGACGTTGGCCGCGCTCTGGCTCGCCGTCCGCGCGTCGCGCCGGCCCAGTGGCACCGTCCACGATTGCCCGCCCACCTGTTTTTTTTTTTTTTCGCGTATAGCGAAAAGATCAATGACCAACATAATATATAATTACTTATGGATTTAGTATGCACGTAGAGTAGGTTCTGGCTTCATTTTTGGCCGTTCATTTTTATGTTTTAAAAGTTCAGTACTATAATATTTTTAAAAATATTAAAGTACTTAAACATAAATTTGTCTCACAAAATTTTTGAATCTATTTATAAAATATTATATTTTAGATATTACATTATAAGAAAAATAAATTTGGGTATCAAAATGTAATTGCATACCAAGACGACTCCATCTCTGGCGGCGAGAGCGAGGATGTCAGCGCAAGAAACGGTGGCGTTGCAAGCGGCCTCGACCCTGGTCTTGATGGCGTCGATAACCTCGTAACCTCGGGCGGAGTTGCGGTTGGGTCCCGCATTCTTCTCGCCGGTGAAGGTGGCGGTATCGTCGAGCAGTATCGAAGCGTCGCACCCCTGCATGCGCTCAACAAATCAACGATGCATGCATGATAATATATAATTCTGTAATGATGAGGAGGGAGAAGAAGAAAAAAAAGGGGTGCAGAACGTACGTTGACGAAGCAGTCGTGGAAGAAGAGGCGGAGGATGGAAGCGGCCATGCGGGCTTCGTTGTTGACGGCCTGAGTCATTGCATTGCGGACTATGGTGAGGAGGTTGGGGCAGGAAGTTGAGTAGAAGGTGGGTGAGAGTTGGGCGCTGCCGGGGGATGCTAACAGCGACGAGGCCAAAAGGGTGACGAACAAGAGTTTACCAAGAGACGCCATTGGAGGAGAAAAGAAAACAAAGGTGCAGAGGATTGTGGTTTTGTGATGATGGACGTCGTGGCTATTTATAGATCGATGGAGTTGGCGTTTGTGCATGGAAAGTCTAAGTAGGGAGGAGGTATTAAATGTGGATAGTGTGCCCCACTTTGCTGGGGCGGGGGAAAAAAACAGCAGAGACAGAGATATTTGTATACCAACCTTTTGCTTTTTCCTGCACATTAATTAGATACGTACTTTGATTTCAGCAAACCAACCGTCCAATTATGTAATCATTCTGTTCATTTTCTGACCTCAATTTGTATGTGATGTTAACGGTATTGAATTTTTCCAGTTCTCGTTTCACAATGGAGGTTTGGCATCTATGAAAGCAACTACGTATACTGCTTGGCCTCGCAATTATATTGTATCATATAAACCACGTTACTTTAGCGCATAATGGGAAAGAGATGATCATTTTAGCAAGGACATGCATTCTGCTAGTAGGATGCAATTCATCTCAACAATCCAAGTAACCCGTACCGAGCAAGCTACCAAACGATTGCAATACATTATTAGTGTCCAATTACTATCGTTTGACATATCTAATCTATACTTAAACGTATTCCAACAACTCGAGTTATTGAGACCAATAATCTTGTTCTGTGATCCAAAGTCTTATGTTTGGATCACGAAGACCACCATGAATTTGTTCTATTAAACACAACCACTGGGCCCTTCATTTAGTGGAATTCAAAACATAGACTTCTCGCACTTGTACTGTTTTTTCTTGCAAAATTTTCAATCTATTATCTATATTCTATAGTATACATGCAGGCGTAGCAGTTTATGATGAGTGCTGTTCTATTTTCCACCTCTAGCTAGCTAGTGAACAGCACGTGGGACCAGCTGGTAAACAGAAACAGGCATGCAGAGACGACGACACGACCATTTTAGGTGTGAAAGAATAAAATAAGTTTTGATTCTCTTCACTAGTGTTGCTTAACCATGAATTCTAATCTTTCACTACAACCAACCTCATGCAGATTATATACTTGATACAACAGTAAACGTTCAGATTAATTTCAGAGTTACCAAACTATGAACAATAGACATCCCGCTATAATCGGAATGCATCAGTGCAATTGTAAAACCAATTACATATGATGTTTTTATAATCATTTCAAACTATCATGTAGAATTAATTAATATCTTTTAAGTGAAATAAATATTTATGAGATCTTTATTTTTCGGATAATTTCGGTGATCATTCTCAATTGCTCTTTATTTCTCATATTCTTTCGTTGATCATTCTCAATTGCCAGCATAGTCAGCAGAAGGTAAATAGGACTAATTGGCAATCACTAATATTAACTAACACCTAAGCCAATAATCATACCATATGATCAATTGACCATATAATACAAGTCCAATCCACTTTTTAACTTATAGACATTGGCGAAGCTACGTTGAATCTAGAGGCGCTATTAAACGTTGGTAACTTTTTACAAGTAAAATTTGTAACAATTTTCGAAAATAGACTATTGGTATGGCTCTAGCTAGCTAGCCACCTCGTCCTCAATACCAATGTTCAAATCGCTCAACGTATATTTTTTTTAGCACTCTTGTTCAGATTCTTAGCTCGGGAGCCTGTCAACAAACACCATTTGTGGTCACCTATGTACGAATACACACGGGTGTTTATCCCTATAAATGTTAGTCAAAAATTAAGAATAATAACTACGGACGAGGAAGATATGTATAATAAAAACGTAACGCGTATAAGGACTTACTCCAGTAATATAACCATTTATCTTGAACCTGATAATTGTAATTTCGAATTGTTTCAGTAGAACTTAAGTACAAAACAAACCTATACTATCAAGAAAGAAGGTAGGAAAAAAGAAAAAAAAAACGTGAAGGGTGATGGTGTTGTGGGAACGGGAAGGCGAGCAGTTTCAAAGTTGGCTGCCTGAGACGCGCTTTTCTGTTTGTGATCATGAGACGGAGTTCCGGTAGCTAGCTAGTGTCCAGTGGCCGGACGCGCGAAGCCAGCCATGGATAATAATGATGAGCAGAGCAGCGCCAAATTTCTTACATCGTTCCAAATTGTAGAGGGTGGGTTTTGCAGATTTGTTGATTCAATTGTTATTCCTATCTGTGTACGTCGTGGTTGACTCGCCCAACCCAACAAACAAAGTCTACCCTCTCTATATATATATATATATATATTCCTTTTTCGTCACTGCAAAGTGCAAACCCACTGACATGTCCAGAAGGTACAAAATAGGATTCTTTTTGCACTGCCAGACAACACGACTGTGGCGTCTCTGCTACTCACTCAATCTCCGCGTTTCCCCCATGATGATCAAGAAGAAGAAGAAACAAAGCAACTTTTGCCTGTCCCACCGAAACTGTCAATCAAAAAACAATGGAAGGAAACGTCCAACAACAGCTACCGTCTATGAATCTCAGTCCACTAAAAAGCGTCTATGTATTTGGGGTGGGGCTTTATTTCTGTATATTAGTCCTTTTTTCTGTTAAACGTTCTAATTCATGTAATGTTCAAAGGCATGCAATTCTTTGACAAAAATACATGTATTCGTCTTTAATACAATCGGCGACATATTTTGTGTAGCTTTGGTTCAATCATCTAATCGCCACTTTTTGACTTTCTGGTTGTTTTCTTGTTTCCCTTCTCGTTCAATATGCGGTATACAAATGCATAGGCAACTTATAAAATAAAACATACAAAATTACAAATAATACGCCCGCCAAGAAATGTAAGAAAATGGTTAAGTATTATATATGGGTCTATCCCAACAATTTATGACAAGAAAGTTGTAGGTTAAGATATTCATACTGATAGTAACCCTCATTTTCTGCAGTTTGATTATTCGGATTGTTTGTAGGTTAGGATATTCATACTAATAGTTATGACTTATCGGGAAATTCATACTAATAGGTTAGGATATTCATACTAATAGTTATGACTTATTGGAATTTATTGTGAGTTTTTTTTTTGACAAAAGATAATCATGTATTAGATAAAAAAAGATAGACAGTTACACCCTGGAGATCAGCCAAGCCTGAAAATCAAAATAACGACTCATCGTCGGGTACAAAGAGAGGGCCTTTCTAGCCACCATGTGGGCTACCCTATTGCTACGCCGAGCTATGAATCGAACAATAAACCCAGGATTGCAGGCAGAAAAATGTAACACCTCGTCTAGTATGGCACCTAGCCTGCTATCCCTTGTATCCGCCCGCTTGATTTTATCAATGACCACCTTGGCATCCCCTTCAAACCTCTTATTAGATAATCCGTGGCCCAGGCACCAAAGAACTGCCTCACGCAGGGCGAGCAATTCCACCACAAGAGGGTCATCAATGACCGGAAATTGCACCCCAATAGCCATAAGGATATCCTGATTAGGGGTCATAAGCACCATTCCTCCTGCTGAATGCGAACCCCTTTTGGTAGCCCCATCCTAGCCACAAATAACCACTGGCAACCCCTCCTGAACTGCTTGGTGGTCTGCAGCGGCGGGGACCTGTGCAGCCTTATCCACCAGGAGTCGCACCCATTCCTCATACTGTTGCGTAAACTGTCGCATCAGAGCTGTGATCCTGTACTGTTTACCCTCAAAGACCACCCAATTACGAGATCGCCAAATTCGCCAGAGGATGGCCACTATAGCCAAAAATAGCTCAGGCTGATGGATTAACGCCATTAACTTTTTTAGAAATAGAGGGAATGTTTGACGAGGCAACCCCTCACCCAAGTGTTCCAGCCCTGCTGCTCCCCAAAGGTCCCGGGCTACCGGGCAATCCAGGAACAAATGTTCCATAGTTTCCGCACCCTCCCAGCACACCGGACAGCGGGGATGTACCGGGATCTTTCTATGAATTAAAGCTTCCGTTGTAGGGAGGATCCGATTAAAAATTTTCCAAACAAAAACCTTTAGCTTTGGCGATATATTAGCCTCCCAAAAGCGGATCCAACTGGTCCGATCCATCCAATCAACCCTCGCCTTCCACTGACCCCTTCTCTTATCCAGGGTGACCACCAAATGGTACGCAGATTTAACCGAGAAGTCACCATCAGGCGTATCATGCCAAATAAGCTTATCCTCCACATTAGCCCGTGGAAGCGGAATAGCCTTAATATTGTGACAAGTAGCAGGATCGAACCATTGACTAAGTTTGAGGTCACACCAGCGACCCTCCCCTTGACAAATCAGCTCAGCAACCGGGGGGTCCCCCTCCGTTGGCAGAATCCGGGGGTTATAGCGGAGAGGCTCAAACTGGTTTTGGGGGGACCAAATTAGAGTAAAGCATGGACGCCGCACAACCATTCCCAATTTGCCAACGTAAACCCATCTCTAACAGCTGCCGCCCAAAGAGGATACTTTGCCAGCCCCATGAGGGACGCGAGCGAGCTTTAGCATTTAGGAAGTGACCATGGGAGAAGTATTTCCCCTTGTATACTTGGGTAAGGAGCGACTGGGGTTCACTGAGGATGCGCCACCCAACTTTGGCTAGGAGGGCCTGATTAAAATGTTCAAAGAGTCGAAAACCCATCCCCCCATCATGCTTACTTCGGCACATATCCCTCTAGGACATCCAACGAACTTTCGAATGGTTGTCACTAACTCGCCACCAGAACCGGGCAACATGCTTATCCAGAAGACGACACAGAGACAGAGGCAGTTTGAAACACGACATCACGTGTAAAGGCAATGCCATGGCAACCGATTTTATCAAGGTCTCCTTAGCCGCCTAGGACAAAGACCACTACTTCCACCCCTGAAGCCGCTCCATAAGCTTCTCCTCCAAATATCGGAAGGTCTCCATTTTTGATCTTTCTATTAGAGACGGGAGTCCCAGGTATTTATCATGAACCCCAACTGCTCCCACTCCCATAACAGTAGCTAGGAATTCCTGATCCGGGACAACAATATTCTTACTGAAGCATACTGCAGATTTAGTCAAGTTCACTCTTTGACAACTAAGCTCCTCATACTCATTCAAAACGTCCATTAGATTTTCACATTCTTG